AAAAAATAAAATAAAATAGATAATGAAATATAAGTAAAAAATATTTTAATAAAATTTTTTAAAACATCTAATTATCACACTTTAAAAGCGTGATTTTATTGCTAATCTATGAACAGTAAATTTGGACAATAATAGAGTAAATTATTATTATTATTATAATTAAAAATATTGAATTTAAATATAAGTTTATATACAGTATATTTAGTGATAATTGTTGAGTAATACAATTTCTATAAACATACTTAAATTTAATATTTTATTTAATAATAATGATTGAATTAGATATTTATGATAACATTTTGTTTGCGATTATCTAGTAAATGGACCTTGATAGTTTGCAATATTTTATTGCTGTTTTTTTAAAAAAAAACTTGTCCAGACCTGCTATAAGCAATTTTTTAGCCAATATTTTAATAAATGTTTTGTCTATTTAATAGATTATATAAATATAAATAGATCTAATTATATAGATAATGGCATTTAGAGAAAAAAATGAGAAAATAAAGTATTTTTTATATATGAATTAAAAATAACAAACATTTATGATTGCTATCAAATGTAAAAAAATAAATAATATATGGGTTCAAAACTCAACATCAAAGTGGATATAACTGAATCGGGTGTATGTTATTAGGAATAGTATGTACTATATCTAACCTAAACTGTATGTCTGTGCTAATACAGTGTTACCAAATGTTAGGGCACCGGCAGATCACATGACCGGTCCGTTTAAATGAACGATTTATTTATTTTGTCTGAAAGCGACAAACTATTAATATATATATATATATATTCTCAATATATATATATACCTTATCTAATAAATTTTAGTGTATGCGAGTGTGTATACTGTATGTATGTGTGAATTTATTAGGCGAGCACTGGTAGTATATAAGTTGTGTACAAATTCATTATAACTGTTAATTTACACTTGAAGTTCAGTCAATTAAATAACTTTAAAAAAATAGTAAAAAATTAATTTTACACTTGTGTAATTGATATATATATATATATATATATATATWTTGGTAAAAATATTTTTTGTTATTACATAATATTTTTTTCTAAAAAAAAGTTTTGATTTACTTATTAATCTTAAAAAAACCAAACAATGCTATTGTTAAAAACAGAGGTAAGATTTTAATTTTTTAGATATGATAACTATTTTTTCTAAATAAATGTATTAAAAATTAAAACTTTTTTTTGTAATACAATATTATTTATTATTTGTTTGTTAAACAATTATAGATTGCAATTGTTATGTCGACAATAATTGTGATACAACTGTGCGACCATCATATGGTAGACTGTAGTCCTATATCTGGCACCCGGTTTGCCAACTATTTGCGATCAACCGATTTCAATACTGAGGACAATCTGTGCCAAAAGGATTCAGATTATCGGGAAATGTGTGAGAGATGTACTAAACTATCGCGCAATGAGTACGCCTATGCCCTGTGCTGTGCCAATGACCAGAAAGTGGGCGATTGGTGTCAAAGTTATATCAATTATACCATCGATTGATTCATTGATTAGTTGGTCAGTCCATTGATATTAATGAATGAATATTTTCATTATTATTATTTGAAGACATATATTGCAATAATTGTGTATTCATTTTTGTCTCTCTTTTTATTTTTTATCTCTCATTTGTGATCTTTAAACTCAACAATAATTACTATTATTGTTGTGGTTGTTATTAATAGCATTATTACTATTATTAATATTATTGATATTATTATTATTATTATTATTGTTATACATAATTACTATTATTATATAATTTATAGTTTTTTATTAATCAATTTTTAATAATATATAATAATTAATTSAATGCAACTATTATTTAAATGTGATATTTATATTATTTTTTCCTTATATAGATTATAATTATATCTATATGTCTATTTTATTTGTAATATTATAATTATCAATTGTTATATATTTTAAAAAATACTAATTGTTTAAATATATTTTATATTATATCATATAAATTATATTTATTATAAATGTACAATAATTAATACAACTATTTTTTTATAATAATATATAAATTATTATGAAAACCTTATTTAAAATAATGTTATTTATGTTTTTTAACGTTAACAACAAAAAATATACAGTAATTGTGATAAAAGATTTTTTTTGTAAAAAAATCTATTAATAGTATACTTAAGAAAAAGTGTTAATACCTGAAATGAAATTGATTAATATTATTGTTGATTAAAAACAATTGAATAAAAATGTAAAAATAACATTTTGATTAAAAAAATTACACAATTTGTTTTCAATTTAAGTTATTTATTATTTATCAATAATTACAATCTAATATTACAATTAAAAACATCGGCAAAATTTTTGCGGACAATAACTCTTAACGTTTAGACAGTTAGCTTTACACCAGAAATCGGTAGCCGTACGCGATATTGAATAACAACCGCTCTTAATATAGGCGCTACCGATGATACCGTTCCCATAGCTAGGTTTAGGCTTCTGGTAATCATTATATTTATTAAAATCTATTTAAATAAATAAATAATAATTATTATTTAATAGTAACAATGTTTTAACTGTATAAAAAACATAATAATTTATTATAATATATTATATATTTTGTTTATTTAATTTATGAAATTTAAATTAGATAAATACATAATGTATAAAAAAATTGATATTATATTTCTTATATTTAAAAAATATATATTTATATAAATACCTTGAAATATAAGAGACCTTTTGTTCAATGATTTCCAAGCGTTGCACTCAATGTATTGCAAACAGCAAACAGTTATTGTGAAAATTATTAACACATTTAAATGCAATGCAAACTTTGATCCCATTATTTGGTTATTTTTTCTAAGTATTAATTAAATCAATAACAAATTATTATATTATTTTTTTATAAAATTAAATTACTATTTTGTATCACATAACACAACTTGATCATGGCACTTTTATATCAAATATTATATAAGTATAATAGTACAGTATATTGGGTGGAAATCCTTAATAAATTTGTTACTTAAACTTAACAAAAGTTAAATGACATTTTTTGAAGAATGCTAGGCATTATAAAAAAAACTGATTTCATATTTTGAAACCAAATAGTTGGTATAATTATATAGTAATATAGTAACAAAAATAAAAAACTTAAAATATTTTTAAATAATGTTATGTAAAAATGATAATAACAAAATTCAACTATATATATATCAAATGATTCGGTAACAAAATAAACATAGTCAAATATCAAATGACTCGGAATTTCAACTATAGTCATGTATATATAGTTATGTATGGTATCAAATGATTCGGTATTTCGGTATGACAAAATAAACTCAACCATAGTCATGTAGGGTATCAAATGACAAACCATAGTCATATCAAATGATTATGACAAAACAAACTCAACCATAGTCATGTAGGGTATCAAATTACTCTGTATGACAAAATAAACAACTCTAGTCATGTAGAGTATCAGATGCTATAATGAAATTATATATTAATTAAATGATTTAGTATAACAAAATAATTTATGCATTTTTTGATTATAATTTTGAATCTAAAATCAAAAAAAATAATTTTAATTTATTATATCTTATAAATTATTTTAATATTAATTAATTAAACAATTCTAAACTTAAAATTAATAAAAAGAGATATCAAAATTTTAATAATAATATACTTAAAATATTTTTTCTTAAAATTTTCTTTATTAATATGATCCCGAAGAGATATATGCAACTTTTCAATACATTATTAGTAGTCCTCTAACCGAATCTGAAGTCAGAATTTCAAAATTCGCAAAAAAATTGCTACACACACACACACACACACACAAAAAAGGCTCGTATAGATTTCAGAAAACAAAACTTTTCAAGTTTTTTTTGAAAATATTTACTATTTTTTGTAAAAATAATAATTGCAACATATATATAATGAAAGCATGAAATATTATTTAAAAATATTTTTTACAATATATTCAAGCTAATTTATATATTAATAGATTTACTAATTTATGCATCATTTTAAATAAATAATTAAACATAATAAAATAATACAATAATAATATTGATTAATATATAAATATAACAGTTATTTTATAATCATTTTAATAATAAAAATTAGAAAATAATATGATAATATTGTATAACGTTATTTTTGCATTTTTAATAAATAATAAATATTTTAATTAATATATAATTTTATCATAATAATTTTTATATCAATAATAAATATAATAACCGTAATTGAAATTAATAATAACATAAATTTATTGATAATTTTAAAAACTATAACTTCTAAGTATTAAATATTTAAGATAAAAGTTAACACTTTAGCTAAACTAATAAGTGGTCTAATTATTTTAAATACTATTGTTATACAGTATTTATATACAGTCCTGGGGCCGAAAGATCACTCTCTATTATTACGTCATGTAATCATGTTATGTATTGTACATTCATATATATATCAAGATATAATTATATAGATATAAAATTGTATTACATTTTGTCATTTATTGTACTAATAGTTTGACAATCATTTGATTCATTATAGGTCTTTGCGTTTTAAGTGTGTGCATAGCATTAATAGTGTATTCTTATTAGGTCACTCTTAGACAACGTTATCATATTTATTGTTAAATAGAAATAAATATGATAACGGTTATTATTTTTCAAATTTATTATAATTATTATTGATATAAATATAATAAAAATTATTATGATAAAATTATATATTAATTAAAATATTAATTATTTGTGTTAAAAATTATGTTAAGTCATGTTATGTTATTTAGTTATTACGTCAGAGAGTGATGTTTCAAAACCTTTAGTGTATAACAAATATATTAATTTTTATTAACAATAGTCAATTGAAACCCAATATTTTATTAATTTTTAATCAAAGAAATATAATACAAATGATTAGATTAGACTCAAATATATGTATTATATTTATATAATATGATTGATATTTTTTTTTAATTTCTTATTATTAACGACATCGTGAGAAACACACATAATATTAATTCATATATTAATTAAGTGAAAATAAGTTATATAATATATTATAGTTGTAATTTGTATTAATATGAAATAAAAAATAAAAAATAAAACATGTTTAACAAAATTAGTTTTTTAGTTTTAATATTTTTAGCAATACATTGTAGTCAATGTATTGACGATTCAAACAAACGTCTAGACTGTTATCTGGAAAGTTAGTAATTGAGAGGAAAAAACTTTTTTTTATTGTTTTATTTAAAAAAATATTAACAATTATTTAATTTTTAATATTATAATTGTTTTTTTTAAATTTGAAGACGACTTTGACCTAACAAAAAGCGAATGTGAACAAAGAGGTTGTGTTTGGGTCCCGAAATTTGACGACGAATCGGACGACAATACAGTACCGCAATGTTATCTAAATACCGACAAAATTGGTTATACCGTTCAGGGAAAGCCTACGAAAAACGGCATTCGGCTTAGAGGCAGACCTGGCACTCAAGGATACGGCCAAACAGTTGCTAAAATCAATGCCACAAATTGAAAAATTGAAACTACAGGTTACGTATCTGACCGATAACATTGTCCGATTCAGGATTACCGATCCGGCCAACAAACGATATGAGGTACCGGTGCAACATACCTTTCCATTGTTGATGGAAAGAAGGGCCGCCATTGTCGATGAAAACTCTACCAAATATGCCATTGAATTGAATGAAAAGTCCAATAACTTTGACTTTGCGGTCGTCAGGAAAGATACTAAAACGAGACTGTATGTGACATATAATTGTTTTAAAAACTTAATTAATTATTTTAATTATTATTATTTTTTTAAAAATAAATTAATTAACTATTAATAGCATTGACACATCTGTCGGTGGTCTCATATTTGCCGATCAATTGCTACAAATAGCCACATATTTGCCGACAAAAAATATCTACGGCTTCGGCGAGAATATGCACAGACAGCTCAAGAATGACATCAACTATAAGACATGGAATTTATTCTCCAGAGGGGAACCACCGGAAAAGGTTTTTCCATAATTATTATATATACTGTATATACTGTACATACAGTTTAAGGATTTATATTTATCTAACATCGCATACCATATATTTGATAAACAAATAGGATATTATAAATCTCTATGGCGTTCATCCATACTATACGGGTCTGGAAAAAGACGGCAAATCGCATGGCGTACTGTTCCTCAGCAGCAATGCTATGGGTATTCATTAAAAAAACAACAAAAACCTATACAACTGCTAACTGTTTTTGTTTCCCAGAGTACACCCTAATGCCAGAGCCGGCCCTATCACTCAAGTCATTAGGCGGTGTTTTTGACTTTTTTGTGTTTGTCGGCGACAATCCCGAACACGTGCAACAATTATACGCTCAACTCATAGGACGTCCTTTTTTGCCACCATTCTGGTCACTGGGCTATCAATTGACACGCTATGGCTTCAAGAATACCGAAAATGTTAGACAAATGTATGAAAGAAATGTCGCCGCAAACATACCATTGGTTTGTAGTTTTGTGGATATTTTCTATTAAAATATATATATATATAATTATTTCAAAATGTCATGCAATGGGAACAATAGGATGTAGCCTATATGGACATCGACTATATGGATAAATTTGAAGACTTTACCTACGATAAGGATAATTTTAAGGGACTGCCAGAACTGATATCGACGCTGAAGACAAAATACAATATTCATACGACTTTGATGTTGGATCCGGCCATTGAAGCTAATAATACCAAATACTATCCGTTTCTCGATGGCTACAATCAGGACGTATTCATTAAATACTCGCCATCCATACCGGTCTCCGAGCGTAACAATCCGTTAAACGTGCCGATAGATAAAGATTACTTTTACGGTGTTGTATGGCCACGAGGRCCGGCAGCTTTTCCCGATTTTTTCAAGAATCGYACAGCTGTTTGGTGGCAAAAATGGATGAACGATATGTACACTACATTGGAYCTTAAGTTTGACGCCATTTGGATCGTTAGTTTTTTGTTGTTTTTAATAGTCTTTAGATTTAAAAAAATAAAAAACATTAAAAATGGATTTATACATATTTAGGACATGAATGAACCGTATAATTTTGGTCCCGACGCCAGTGATCCCGAAACATACTGTCCAGAAAATAAATACGATATGCCATCAATAAGGATACGTTAGTATATTACACAGATATTTGAGCAATGACAATTTATATATATAAATATTTATTTAGAGAGYATATATGGCAATGGAAACGTTACACATTTGGGTCAAAAAACAGTGTGTATGTGTACTGTCCAGGGTGAAAATGATGAATATCTTAACTATGATGTCCACTCTCTATATGGTTACAGTGAGAGTGTAGTCACACAAAAGTAAACGCTGAGGAATAKTAAAAAAAATTTTTTTTTTTTAAAAATTGGATAWTAATTATGAATTTTAACTTAACATAAAAAATTAGGGCTGTCCGTGCCATTACTGGCAAACGTAGTTTCATACTSTCCCGGTCCACATATGTCTCGTCCGGTCGTTATACAGCTCACTGGTTGGGCGATAATACCAGCGACTGGCCATTTATGAGCGACTCCATTGTCGGCATACTTGAGTTCAATTTGTTTGGCATACCTTTTGTGAGTAATCTAATTGTGTATTTARTTTYCATAATATTAATACTTACTTTTAAACAAACTTTATTGTAATAGATCGGTGCCGACACMTGTGGTTTCTTTCATAACGCTACCGCCCAACTRTGCCGCCGATGGTCACAATTGGGAGCTTTCTATCCATTTAGCCGAAATCACGCTGAAATTCATGCACAGGATCAAGACCCGGCTGTATGGACATCGCGCGGCAATCCGGAGGTCACCGAAGCGGCCCGTAATTCGCTGAATCATCGGTACACTCTGTTGCCCTATCTGTACACTCTGTTCTACAGAGCCCACACCATCGGACAAACAGTGGCCCGACCCGTGTTTCACGAGTTCGCCAACGACACCAACACCTATGCYATTGACAAACAGTTTATGTGGGGTCGCTCTGTCCTAATATCGCCGATCTTAGAGGAAAACAAGTCGGCAGTGACGGCATATTTGCCACCGAGTGATAAYTGGTTTGAGAGTTGGCCKCAAATTACAAAAGTGCCSAAAACTGGTTTCTTGAATATTACTGACAAAAAGTACGAAACAGGACCACCGCCCGTCCACTTTAGAGGCGGTTCAATAATACCGATGAGCGCCGTTAGCAAACACAACAACACAGTTACAGTACGTCAGGCGCCCATCAACTTGATTGTATTGCCCGTCGGTAATAACAACAATACCTTTTTAGCAACCGGTGACCTGTTTTGGGACGACGGAGACTCTATTGATACGGTCGAAAAAAATCTGTACAACTATTGGGAGTTTCAACTGTTGCCTAACTGTACCGTATTTATTAATCCCATGAAAAAGGGTTATTCCAGTTCACCGGTAATCAAGGAAATACAAGTGTACGACACAAACGGTTCGGCCATCAAGGCTACAGTCGACGGCAAAGCTATCGACGCCCGACAAGAACCGTCGGGTTATACGCGATTGGCTGTCAATATTGACCTAAACGCTAAGGAACCGTCCTATAAATGGATAGTTAGTTGGGGAAAGTCGGACAATAAGTGTAACCTAAACTAACTAAAAAAAAGTAAAACCTTTTAATAAGTATTAAACAAAAAATTATTTTCTGGTCTTATATTTTTTGATATAATTATTTTATTTTTTATTATTATCTATTAAAAAATAAAATGCAATTTTGAAAAAAATAATTTTTTGTATTATCTGTATTGTAGTATTCAAMTTAAATAAGGAAAACTATTAAATTAAATTTATGATTAGATAATTAGTTTTTACATTGTTATGACAATAATTATTTACCTAATTTGTTAAAATAAATCATTAATAATTATTTCTAATAAAATAATAAAAGGAGCTAGTYAATTTTTATTCATATTAAATATTATTAATAAATTACTAGATRATAGTTTTTTTAAAAACTTAATTTGAAAGTACATTTAATTGCTAAAGTTATAAAATTTATTAATTTTTTCTAAACTATTATGAAAATCATAAAAAAGTAATAAAATATAGTAATAAAAAACTTTAAATAAAATTTGTTGAAAACAATTGTCAACTAATGTATYAAATGTATTGAGAAAGTTATATATTAATTCARCGATTTATAATTTGATATATTACTATTTTTTTTGGCACATGCACAATTTTGTATGGATAAACAACTTTCAATTAATCAATTATTATTAATAATAGTAAAAAAATAAATATATATATCATATGATTAATAATATTATTATTAATAATAAAAATCAATAAAATAAATTAAACAACAACAAAATAACAAAAATAATTAATAACTATTAATTTTGTTTTATACACTGTGACAAAATATGACCCTGTACAAAATTTAGTATTATTATTATATAGATAGATTATATTTGATTAAATACTAAATTTATGTTTAAGTTAACATAAAGTTTGAACATATGGTTACTGTGTATATGAATGGCGAGTATTATTATTAATAATATTAAAAGGTATTGAAAACACAAAAAATAAGTTAGAATACAGCGATTGCTAAAAAATTGTAGACATTTTAGGTAAGAATACTATTGGTTAGTGTCTACACATATTATTTGCCATAACATATGACTTTATTTGCGACAACTCTTTCCAATACATTAATAGTAATAATAATAATAAAACATGAGATCATATGTGACGTGTTGTGTATTAATATATACTTTATATATATGTAGTGTTTTTCAATGAGATTTTGTTAACCAATATATAGATATATATATATATATATACTGTATATTAATACAGTATTTATATATAAAATCAATTGAAAGGAACCCATTGTTTACTAAATGATTATTGAAAGGGTATAGCAATTGACCGATAATTATATTATACAGTATATAATGATATCAAATATTTTTATTAATCAAATCTCAATTGAATTAATTAATTAATTGATTATTAAAATATTTATTGAAAAAAACACATGTGTTTTCATTAATGAAATAATAATTATATTTAAATAATAAGTAAAAGTATTTTTTGAAATAATTATTAATTAAATAGTATTTTTTTAAATTATTAATAATAATTATTATAGTGTGATATATTTAAATGTGAAATTAATTATTATTATTATTAAAAAGGCGACAATTATTTAATTATTTGAATTATTATTATTATTATTAGCCAAACATTGTCGTCATTTGCATTATATAGTGAAACAAAATACAATTGAATTGATTTTTTTGTGTCTGTATTTTACAATAAATAATTTGACAATAAATTGACGTAAATATATACATATATATATACATCAATTACTATTTGTATTGCATAATAATAATAATAATAATAATAATAATATCCTACTAATAATTTTAGACTAATATAATAATATTAAATAATAAATGCATTGATTTTTTGTTTGGGTTTTTACCAATTTTTAGTATTATTTTATTAATATATAAAAGTTACAATCAATTAACTATTTAATTTTTAAAAAATAATTTCTATTATAATTAGTATTAATATTTTTTCTTAAATAGTTATTTAATAATTTAAATTATTATTTCAAAATTTGACTACAAGTGCATTATTTTTTAACCGGTTTGAATAATTTAGTTTTTCAACATCAAAAAAATTATTTAGTTGTTAATTATTATTATTAATTATCATTACATTTAAAAAAAAAAATTATAACAAGTTGTTAATACATTTATATTAAATAAAAAAATTGTGATTGTTTTTTACTGAAAACCCGTAAAAATATATATAAGATTTTTTTTTGTGAAAATATTTATTTTATTTTAATTGCAATTAAATTAATTCACTAAAGTATTATTTGCTATTGAATTGTAATATATTATTATTATTACAACTACTATCGGTGTCGATAATTGTTTAAATAAATATTACCTAATAATCATTGTTTAGTTAGATATTTATGCAATAATATGATAATAGCAATTGATTTTRTGAAATAATAATAATAATAATATTTGCAATAAGTATTTGTATAATATTATTATTTGATTAATAAATAAATAAACAAATATATCGCATCATTTTAACTACAATGGATAATCAAGGTAAATATATTATATATATATTGAATAAATAATTTTTTTAGCTATTTATTTATATAATTTGTTTTTTTTAAAAAGTTTTAGAAACTAAATATTTTATATATAAAATAATTTTATTTTGCAAATTATTTAAATATTCTTATTATATTCACATAACAACTTTTTTTATATAAATGCTAACTTAGCATGGTGCAATTAATAAAAATTAACTCTAGTATAACGATGATTGGCATACTTTCAAAAAAATATTTTAATGAATATAATAAATATCATGTGATTTTATTTGAAGGATTATTATTATTAAATTAATAGTTATAAAAGTTGCTTATCTAATGAAAAAAGTTATATTAGTATTATTATAGTATTATTTAGTAGTAGTAGTAGTACTTATCGTTAACATAATAATAGTTGGTAAGTTAATTTTTTTTAATAATAAATTAATTTTTATTTTTTTAGACATATAAAAAATTGCTTTTAAATAGTGATTTTTTAAGTGTGAGAAAATAAATATATATAAGAATTTTAATTTATATAATTATGTTTACTTTTTTGTGTCTAATTTTATATTTATTTAGTTATTTGTGTTGTTTTGCTTATCATTAATAATGTAATTTTAAATCTAAACAATTTTGTGAAAATCCCAAATTTTTATGGCAGTAATATAAATATAAGGATGATTTTGTGATAAATTTAGTTAACATTGTATTTATATTTGCTTAACAACACTATTACTACTGTATAATAATGTGTTAAATTTTAAATTGATACTTTAATTAAATCTAATTAAATTTTTTTAACAAAAAAACTATTGCCAAACACATTGCATTCATTAATTACAATAACAAAAATAATTTATATAATGTTTTTTATTCAAATTACAAAATTTAAAAGGAAGTATTGAATACAAGATATATAGGAAGCGATTTTGTTATAATTCAATAAAAAAAACATTTTTTTTAATCATGTTTTATRGTTTTATTTGTTTGGAATATATGTTTTATATAACACATACTATTATCATAACAAAAATATGCATATTTTTATTGTCAAAAGTTATTAACTAGTTATTTGAAACTTTTATTATTATTATTATTATTATTTCATGCTAATTTTGTTAGAAAAACAAATTATTTTGTATATTTTGCTTATATTACAGATATTTAAACTAGTAAAAAAACATTTTATTTTAAATAAAAAAAACTATGTTAAGAGCACTTCCGCATAGATAGGTATATAACAAACTTTAATTATGTTTACCATTCAAAACCACTAATACAAGTGCATCAAAGTATTTGTATGGGTCTAACCTCKAAATTAAATACAACAAACATTTATTTTCATTAAAACCATAACAATTTTTATAGTATATTAAGCATATATTTAAGCAAATAAATGGTATGATTTTTTTATGTTTGGTTTGAGATAAACGACTTTTACTACAAAATGTGTTTATTTATGCCCTAAAGGTGTGTATGTATGTATGTGTGTGTGTGTGTGTGTGTGTGTGTGAGAGAGAGAGAGAGAGAGAAAGTGATATTCACTTGATTTTTGTTAATGTCTTTTGACTATACAATTGAGGTCACGAACTAAATAGTATTAAATATTTTATATAATTTTTTTAAAGTCATATTATATACTGACAACTCGTCTCATATATTGAATGTATGTTTTGATGAATGTGTGTACTGTATGTATAAATTGTATGATAACCGACAAACAAAAAATATGTAAAACAAACCAACCGAACCACTCATTTATCATTAAATGAAATATTAAATAATAATAAAAACTAAAACACAGCGGAACTGAACCAACCTTTTTTGATTATCATTTGCTTCCCTAATCACTACACCTATCATACAGTACACACAACATCTCAAAACTTATACAACCTTAGGATAGGATAGAGAGTGAGAGAGAGAGAGAGAGAGAGAGAGAGAGAGTAGTTGTCTTTTAGTAAAAATTATTAGCCATTGATTATCACCAATTGGATCGACAATCTCTTTATCTAATAAAAACACACTTTTCATATATCGGATATATATTTTTCAATGTTTGTACAGAAGTCATGTCCGCCACCAGTGAAACAACGGACAAACCTACAGCCACAACAACCATCACCTCAGCAAAAGATAGTCCTTCACTGCCGGTGACATCAGTGGCAACTGCGACGGCTGCGGCTGGCGTGACACTGAGCTCCCCATCGCTTCAATGTCAAGTGGCCGAACACGCGGAACATTTGGCCAAAAAGTTTTTAACGGAAGCCGAAAATGTGGAAAACGTGATGAGGGAAGTGCTCTTCAATGCCTGGAATGTATGTCTCAAAAAGTTATTAATTAAATTATATCTATAATTAATTAATTATAATGTTATATATTATTATTTTATAAATATTTTATTGTTGAATATCTCGATATTCAATTTATTTTTTAAATTATTTTTTTTTTTGAATATATTTCAAACATCTTTTCTAATATTTTTATAGATAAATCATAACATCTGATTGATAGGAGAAATTTTTTTTTGATTATATATATTTTAGAAACTAATTAACTATTTTTTAACAGTAAATTATATTAATTTATTATATGATATTTATATATTAATGTTATGACAGACACCAATTATTTTAATAATAATAATAATTTGAATAATGGTGATAATAATATTATCAATGATAACTATTTTATTGACAGTTGTGTGACAAATAGTTATGATTATAAGGTACTTATCATTATTAATCATTAGTTATTATTTAATTAATAATTTAATTTTTAAAAATCCAATTCTATGTATTGACTAAAATATTATTTTTATGTTATGTTATGGTCAGGTATGTCACTTCCATGAGTTGCCTCAATGGCTCAAAGACAACGACTACCTGGTGATGGGTCATAGACCACCACTATCTTCATTTAAAGCATGCTTTTGGTCGATCTTCCGATTGCACACCGAAACGGGCAACATATGGACACACGGTGTCGGCTGTCTACTATTCCTCGGGCTGGCCATCCATGTGCTCTGCGGTTTTAATGCCCAGTACTCGAACATTCCACTAATGGACAAAATGGTGTTCGGGTGCTTCTTTGCCGGTGCCATCATATGTTTAGGACTGTCCACATGCTATCATACGCTCAGCTGTCACTCACATTCTGTCGGACGACTATTTTCAAAGTAACGTTTATTATATATGACTTAAATAATAATTACTGATATAAATAAATATGTTGTCTTTGTTGGTATCAATAGACTGGACTATTGTGGTATTGCACTGTTGATTACCGGTTCATTTGTTCCATGGCTTTACTATGGCTTCTATTGTTCATTAATGCCGAAAATATTTTATTTATGTTTGACAATATTTTTGGGTATGTCATCGGTGATCGTGTCGTTGTGGGACAAGTTCTCTGAGCCTAACTTCCGTCCCGTTAGAGCCGGTGTGTTCATGTCGTTCGGTTTGTCGGGTGTCATACCGGGCATCCATTGGCTCTATAGTCACGGCCTCACCTCATGGATCGAGTCGTCCATAAGGGCTTCCTTTACGAGTCTCATACTGATGGGTGTACTCTATATAATCGGTGCCCTTTTGTACGCTTCCCGTATACCCGAACGCTTCTTTCCCGGCAAATGTGATTACTGGGTACGACTGTCCAATCCATCGCTTTTTCGATATCAAGATAATCGATAGATTTATTTTATTTCATTAATTTTTATATTTACAGTTTCATTCGCACCAATTGTTTCACATATTTGTCATATTGGCGGCAGTGGTTCACTATCACGGCATCACATGTATGGCCGACTATCGGCTTAATTCACCCAACGCTGTCTGTCCCGTTCCCGACGAGTATCTCGAGTATTGATTAGTTGATATTTTTAATTAGTTTTTTTTGTTGAAAAAAAGTATTCACAAATGTATTAATCATTACAAAATATTTTTAAAAAGGCAACAAATCTAACATCAAATTAGGGGATAAATTGTTGATTTGATTTTAGTATTAAGTTATTAACTCTATTAGTAATATACAGTATATTATAAATATTAATATATTTATTATTATTATCATCATTATTAATATTATAATTATTAAAGTACGGTTATTATCTATAAAATTTAATTGATTTTATTTTATTTTTTTTAATGGTAACCTAAATTATGAAATCTGTGTTAAGTGATTGGAGAGTAACAAAAAAAAATTTAGGATTTTTTGGTTTTGATAAATACATTTCAAAATTTTAGACCAATTTACAATATACATTATATAAACATGTTAATTATGGTAAAAATGTTAAAACTTACAATATTTAAAAAAATCAAATTATTTAATATTGATTGTATTGCTTAAAGCCAATGGTTGTTAAAAATTATTTTTTATATATTAAAAAAAATAAAATATTATTAAAACAATAAAAACCAATAATTTCATGGATTTAATATAGTTTATTAATAATTTTTTTTATATAGAAAAAAAAAACAATTTACTTACAATTTATTAAAATTTTTAAAAAAATTAATAAATTAGTAGAAAATTTCAATCGTTTTTTTATTCAATATTTTAAGTGAAAATTTTCATATCACTAATAAAATGTATTTTTATCCTAACAGATGTCATGTATCAGATATAGAGTACAGTATTTAACTGTTTATTGTTGAATAGTATTCAATGATTTTTCTATAGAAAAACAGTCAACAAAAGTCAACAAAAACAGTACATTATATATAAAGTTTAAATGTTTGATAATATTTACAGCAAAATATTATTTACGATTATTTAATGAAATTTTATTTCAAAACAATTTTTTTTTGATTCAATAGTTTTTTGTTTTGTTTGTTTGAATTGATTGAGTATTTTATTAATTTTGACCGAAATGTCCGACAATCCGATGGCCAACGACGACAGTATCGGTGTTTTTAAAGTTCCCACAATTATCGCGGCCACCGATAATAACAATAAACACATAAATGCTGATCAAAATGCTGGCCAATCGTCGGCAAATGTGAAGTCGGCGGTTAACGACGACAACAGTTTGCAAGACACGAATACYGTCGGTTCGTCCACACCTAAGACAGTATTGCCCGAACCGATGACCCGTTTGACGCCAGCCGATGGCCACTATTTTTTGGATCAAATGAAAAACGGTGTTATTGTTGAGCACAAAGCGGTCGCAAAGTCGCGGCTTGTGTTTGGCCGAGCCGTCGACTGTGACATTGTTTTAGCCCATCCGTCGGTCTCCAGATATCATGCCGTACTGTTGTGGTCACCGATCAGCGATGATGACTACGAATCGGGTATTTATTTGGATATTCAAGTGACAAATAATTTGTTAAATCAATCAATTAATCAATTGATTCACAATTTAATTTTTTTAGGCAAAAACTGTGAATCATTTTGGTATTTAGTGGACTGCGGGTCAACACACGGCACAACCAATAATAAGGCACCGGTACTGACCGGCAAACTGATTAAACTGGTGCCCAATAATAATGTCTTCAAATTGGGTGCTTCCACACGACTGTTTACATTGGGATCAACTCGCGATTGCAATGACGATGACGACAATGACGACAGTGATCTCATTGAAGCAGATATTGATGATGACAGCAACGATGGCAAAAATGTTGTCAAAAAAGAGGAATCTAAAGACACGGGATGTATGTGGGGTATGAGCGACGACGCAGAAACTAAAGGCGACGTTACGGCTGATAGTAAGGCATTGCAGTCAGTTATCGCTGCCATGAAGTCAACGACCGGCGATAAAGATGGACAACAAACTACTAACTCTAACGCTTATATTGCAAACCCTTACAAATGTATACAACAATGGTTTGAGAGGGAAGGCTATGATGTAGAGTACAAATGTGACCAAATTCACAATAAATTTCGCTGTACTATTGAATTGCCTATCGATGGCCAATGGATTCCCGTTGAGGGACAGCTAATGACTAAAGTAATTATATCTATATTTTAATTATTTTTTTATTATTTACAGATTAACTGTATATATATATATACCGTATTTTAAATTTTATATTTAATGTACCAGAAAAAGGAATCAATGAGCGATGTATGTCTGAAAGCGTGTCAACTACTGGACAAAGCAGAGCTACTGTTCCCGTGGCAGCAACAGGAGGCTCACCAACAGAGACGCAAACAGCTCGAAGAAGATAAAGACGATGATTGTGATATGATTGACGAAACCATAAAGATATCTCACAAGAAGCTCAAGAAGCAACACTACAGCAGTGATTGCGATAATAATAATGTCGATAATTATGAAACGCTTAACAAAAAGTGGTCCGATATTAATGAAGAGTTGCGACAATTGAGAGTCAAAATGGCTACCATTGGGGCCAAAGCCAGTGATATTCAGGAATTGAAAAAAGAGTCGGACGATTCACTTGACAACTATATGGCGATTATTGGTCGCCAAAGATACGGACTAACAATGAGTGATAAAATTGAAAAGTCAAAGATCCGAATGAAGATCAATGTCTTGGAGAAAGAACAGCAAAAATTAGAAAAATTGATTAAATTAGCCAAACCTTTGTTAGTAGAGTTGCAGCCGGTTTCCAGTAGTACTGCAACATCATTGACGAAACCGATGACAATGGTTACCAGTGATGACAACACTGGAGATATTATAACTATTGATGAGAAAGCTAAGAATTCAAGTRAACCAAATAGTCATAAAGTAGAGGTAAATAATGAAACAAAACCAATGACAACACAGGAAACAAAAGAGGAAGAAATTAAACGAAAAGCCGACAAAATTATTAGTGAAATGAAAAGTATAGCAAAACCTAAATCTATGTCTAAAGATAAACAGCGATTAAAAGCCCAGAGTATTGTCGAAGCAATTGAAAAAGAGAAACGATTAGAGAAGACTAAACCGACGGCGAAGACTGGTTTTGATGAAGATTTTGTTGATTGGATGCCACCTATGGGTCAATCGGGTGACGGAAAGACATCGCTTAACGATAAGTTTGGTTATTAATGACTTCACAAAAAGTTCACCAAATTTTAATATTATGTATTATAAAAATTTTAATATTTTTCATTTTTCTGTGACTCATTTCATGTTTATTAAAGTAAATGTAAAATGTATATACGGTATTAGTATATATACTTTATTTTATTTTACCAAATTTACATTATCATAGTTGTATATGGTAATGATTTAATTTAAAACAATTAAATTAGAAATCAATAAAACTTTAATACAAATTGTGATTGTGGACAAAAAAAATAATTTCATTATTAATTTTGATATTAATTTTATAGTAAATAATCGCATCGACAATAACCGGCTCCTTCATTAGGATGTACTCTAAGTCCTCTCTCAATCATACGACAGTTTTGTTGATGAAAACGATCGGCAGCTGCCGATGAATACTTCAGACTTATTGGACTCCATAAGCGCTCGGCTACGGCCGATGCTCGTGGCCTGTCAAACGGTTAACCGATTGGAGAAAAAAAATAATATTAATAATAAAATTTATAATAGGGTTAACATAAAGATATCTACTGATACCAGGATCTGCTGATAATATTTGCTCCGTTAACATATTGGCCCCAAACGGCTGCTTCGCCGCCGATAACCAGCGCTTTTTGTTTATCCGTACCGTTAAAGCTGTGCGGTTCGCACTCGTAGTACTTTTGCCAATCGGAACCAAACGATATGAGACTCAGGTACCAACACGACGATAGTATAGCTCGATAGCCTTTAGAGGTGACATTGAAGAGCTCTGGACGCCAATACTTTTCGTGTTCGTCACCCCACGAGCCGATCCATACGTGAACAACAGTATCAGACTTCAGTTCAACACCATTGTTGAACACTTCCTCCCAAACGGTGTAACTTTTGTTTAACTTTTTCATGATATCCAACACTCGTAATATATAATAATCTTCAAGTTTGGCATAAGACTTGATTTTTGTTTTCTCCATAAATTGTTGAATGTTTGGGTTGACTCCCAACACGTAAAGTCCACTTCATCGCCGCCCAAATGAAAGTATTGGTCGGGAAAGGTTTGGGTCACTTCAGCGAACAGTTTCTCAATAAATTCGTATACCTTTTCATTGGATGGATCTATTGGTCCGTAATTACCATTTTTCGTGCCATTTGTATAGCATTCGGTGAGTAACTCTTTATGGCTCATAGCCCATGACAATGTATGTCCGGGTGTGTCAAACTCAACGACCACACGTATGCCTCGCTGTCGGGCGTATTCATTRACATTGTGGATGTCTTGTTGAGTGTAGACATGAGTTTTTGGATTAAAAGCTCCCTTAAGATAGAGATCCGGGAAAACTTTGCTCACATAGGGAAACGACTCGTCATCGATCATATGCCAGTGAAACACATTGAGCTTATTGTAGGCCATGGCGTCCAGATTAGCGTACAACTTGTCTACCGAAATGTAATGTCTGGCCGTGTCAAGTAAAATGCCTCGATATGCAAAACGCGGAAAATCACTGATTTGTGTCTCGTTGACCACAAACTGATTTGGACCGATATTGGCGACCAATTGCGAGAAAGTTTCCAACCCTCGTATAGCACCCCAAATGACCGATGCCTTGATGTAGGCCTCACGGGTCGTGGCATTGATGACCAACGTATAGTTTTCGTTCATATCCAAGTGCGGCCACTGTTCACAGGAACCGATTTCTACCGTAACGCCTGTCAGATCGCCACTATAGTTGACATCATTGTCCACTGAAAACAGTGTGTCGTAAAAGTTTTGTTCACCATTTCTGTCAATTTTGTCACAGTTCTGTATAAATGTGACATTTTTGGTGCGATCGATGGCCGCCGACAAGAGGTCACATTTTTTCGGCGACTTTTCGGTAAATGTAAACTTTTTGGAGTCTATTTGCAGATAGTTTTTTGTTGCCTTAACTGATTGTGGATGTGGCCATACCTGTGCTATAGTCACCTGTGTTTTTTTAAATAAAAAGTGCATTTTTAATTAAATATATTTATATTTAAGATATAAATTTATTACATATTTCTTATTATGAATATTAAAATTAAATAAACTTAGAATTAAATATTTACAAAAATAATTATACCTGAATAAGTGTCAAATAATATGTTAAATATAAAATTTTGATTATCATCATAAAATTTTTTAACTCTTATAATGTTATATATGTAAATAAAAAGATTTTACAAAATATTAATAATAAGTTAATTTAATTTATTTATTTAACACTTATAAGTAAATTGTTTTTTACTTATATTRCTTAAATTGTTTTTTTATTATAATATACATAATTTTTATTTATTAATCCTTGACAATATTCATTTTAAAAATTATAGTTTAGAAGTCCATAACAAAAATTCTTAAACTTTTATATATTATAATATTAATTATTTAGTAAATATTAATATTAATAATTATTTCAAAAAATTTTATTATTTAATTATTTTTTTATTTAACTTTTTTCAAGATTTATTTGTTAATTGGACTGTTAATTCAATTTTTGAATATAATTGGGATAATCTGGATAATTTGGTCACAATAGTTTAGAAATGATAAACTAGACAATTACGATAGAAATATGTCTAATCAATGGATTATTGGTTTTTTTAGATTATCAAAAAAAGAAGATTATATAAATCAAATTTTTTTCCGCAGATAATTAACTAATATCACTAATAATAAGTGTATTTGATTTAATTATTATAATAAATAAAATCGATAATAAAAGTTAATAACAACTGATATCAACCGTAATTAAAAGATTAAATGGTATTTATAATACTGTATAAAATATATCTTATAAATATAATATTTAATAATTAGTAAGCAAAAAAATGTCAATCAAAAATATCATCCAACAAAATTTATTTTAAGGTTACATAAATAATTAATTTAAAAAAAATAGTTGTTATAGGATAAAAAATAATTTAATCTATGATTTTATATAATATTATCATAAATTATTGACAAAACAACTTTTAAAATTATTTTGTACTGCAATTCAGAGTGTGAATCAATACACACAATATAGTAACATATTTAGTGATTGTGATTAAAGTAATTACAATATAACTGTAATTAGAAATTAAAAATCTTATAGAAATAAATTATATATATATTTTTAAAAATTTTATTTGATTAATGTTTATTTTGAGAAATATTTCAAAGTGCATAATCGCATCGACAATAACCGGGTCCCTCATTAGGCTCGACGGACAGTCCTCTCTCCATCATTCGGCAGTTTTGCTGATGAAAACGTTCGGCAGCTTCTGATGGCATAATAAAACTCTTTGGACTCCATAGACGCTCGGCTGCGGCCGATGCCCGAGGCCTGGAAATAGAGGTTATTAAATAACAAAAATAAATTAGTATAACATATTATGGTAACAATCAAATAGGAAAGTTAGTCGTAATAATAATTAAATCTATAGTTACCAGGTTCTGCTAATAAAATTGCCGGCGTTTATATACTCTGCCCAAACTGCCGGTTCGCCGCCGATAACCAACGATTTTTGTTTGTCCGTTCCGTTAAAGCTGTGCGGTTCGCACTGGTAATACTTTTGCCAATCGGGACCGTAACTGATAAGATCCAAATACCAACACGAAGATAGTATAGCTCGATAGCCCTTTGAGGTGACATTTTGGAGCTCTGGGCGCCAATACTTTTCTTTTTCCGTACCCCACGAGCCGATCCATACGTGAACAACAGTATCCTCTTTTAGGTCGACACCATTGTTGAACACTTCCTCCCAAACGATATAACTTTTTTTCAGTTTTTTCATAATATCAACCACTCGTTGCATATAATAATCTTCGAGTTTCGAATAGGATTTGATTTTCTTATCGGCCATAAATCGTTTGATGTTTGGGTTAGACTCCCAACACGTAAAGTCCACTTCATCGCCGCCCAAATGAAAGTATTGGTCGGGGAATGTATGGGTCACTTCAGCAAACAGTTTCTCAATAAACTCGTATACCTTTTCATTGGATGGATCTATTGGTCCGTATTTGCCGTTTTTCGTACCATTTGTATAGCATTCGGTGAGCAAATCTTTTTGACTTTTACCCCAAGACTGTGTGTGTCCGGGTGTGTCAAACTCGACAACTACTCGTATGCCTCGCTGTCGGGCGTATTCGATAATATTGTGGATGTCTTGTTGACTATAGATATGAGTAACTGGATTATAGGCTCCTTTACGGTGCAAATCGGGGAARACATCGCTGACATACGGAAAGGATTGGTCGTCGACGATATGCCAGTGAAACACATTTAGTTTATTGTAGGCCATGGCGTCCAGATTAGAGTACAGTAGATCTAGCGGTAGGTAATGTCTGGCCGTATCTACCATAAGACCACGATAGGCAAAACGAGGGAAATCAACAATTTGTGTTTCATTTATGACAAACTGATTCGGACCGACATTGGCGATCAACTGTGAGAAAGTTTCCAACCCTCGTATGGCACCCCAAATAACCGGTGCCTTAATGTAGGCCTCACCGGTCGTGGCATTGATGACTAGCGTATAGTTTTCATTCATTCCCAAATGCGGTAACTGTTCACAGGAACCGATTTCTACCGTAATGCCAGACAGACCGCCATTATAATTGACCTCATTGTCCAGCGATCGCAATGTGTTGTAAAAGTTTTGTTGTCCGCCTCTACGAGTATTACCGCAGTTCTGTATAAATGTTACATTTTTGGTCCGAGTTATGGCCGCCGACAAGAGGACACATTTTTCCGGCGACTTTTCGGTAAATGTAAACTGTTTGGAGTCTATTTGCAGATAGTTTTTTGTTGCCTTAACTGATTGTGGATGTGGCCATACCTGTGCTGTCGACTCCTGTATGTGTAACGAAAATGAAAAAATATATTTATAATTGAAATTTTATATAACAACTAATATTTTAATATCAATTTTTATATTTAAAAAAAAATTATTAACAATTATTTTTTATTTATAGTGATTGATTTGTTAAATTATATTTTATAGATAAATYAGCAAAAATATATTTGCAAAAATAATTTTACCTGGACAAATATTACACAAAATAATAAATATACAAATTTAAATATCATTTTAAATAGATTTTATTTTTGTTGTTGATATGACAAACCATATATGTATATTATATAGCAGTTTTTTTTAATTATAACTTATATATAAATGATATATAAATTATTTTATATAATAGTCTATATGTGTAATTGTTTAACTTTTACTATATATTAGTATCAGTTAATTACACAGCTTTCAAAACGTATCTGAATATTATCTGAAAAGTTTGAACTAAATTAAAGATAAATAAAAGGAAAATAACATAATAGTTAACTACTATTATTCATATATATATCGCGTTATTATTGATGTTATTATATATTATTGGAAATACAGGGTTAGAACTGCGATAAACTAGACAATTAGCAACAGGTAATCAACAAAACTATTTGTTTTTATTATAAAATCACAAATGAGACTATTATTTTGAACAAAATACAGTATATGATATAACTATAGCTAAAATGATATAAGTTATGTGATTTAACAAATAACAAGTTGTCTACAATTTATTTTTCAAGCGAAAGTCCAAATCTCTCAAMAAAAAACACACACACACACACACACACACATACATATATATATATATATATATATATATATATATATATAYATACACACTCACTCAAGATATTATTAGTTCAATACCTTTAGTGATATTATCTAATGTCTTAAAAAATAATGTTATAGTAATAGTATTAAATAATTAACATGGATTTAAATTTTTTCTATGATAAACCAGGTAAAACAGGTTTCGGTTCCCACAAATAAAAATTTTATTTACTTAAATGTTATTTTTTTCAAAAATAAAATGTCCAGTGTCTAATTAGTATTTTATTTATCTTAATTTTACTTTCGTTTAAATGTTGTATATTTTAAAGTCACAAGTTTGGTTACTGAATTTTGTTTTAGTTAGTTATTTATTTTTATTTTAAATTTATGCAAATATTTTTATAACTATCAATTTTTTATACCACTTGCTTAATAGTTATTTTTTTGTTGTAAAAATTTGTAAAAAAAAGTGCTACAATTAATTAGAAATTATATTTTAAGTAATATTTTAGTTTAATTAGTAAATATTAATTAATTCTAAAAACTTGTTATTAAATTTTCCATTTTTTTAAAGATAAATAAATGCATGATTAACTAATATAGATTAATAATCCAACTATTTTTCATTATAATCAGTTTTTTTAAAAAACAAAACAATTATAAATAAAATTCAGGTAATACTTATGTAGGAAATATCATAATATGTACTTAACTTATCATAAGTAGTGTAATAGTAGGTAGAGTTTGTAATAGTGGCACTTGTAGTCGTTGTCGGGTCCAAAGTTTTATCACTATTATCATTAGGCGTTTGTAGGACTGGTACCTTTGGATAAGTTGTTTTTGATAATTTATTATCACTATTACTATCACTATTATCATCAGTGGTTACAACAATTTGATTCATACAAACGGAATTATTTAAATAATAAATAATTGTTATCATTATTGTTAACATCAATATCACAGTTATTAAAAATATAGTCATCAATGGATGCGACGATGAATTTAAATAACTATTACTTAATTTCGTATATTTACTCATTTTGTTAATTTTGTTTTTTTTRAAAAAAAGACAATTTATTATTTGTAAAAAAATGTGAAAACAATTATTTTATTAAAAAACACAATTAATTATCATTAATAATAATAATAGTAATAATACTTGCAATATAATTATAATTAAAATATATTTTTATAATAGATTAATAACATTATATGTTTGATCACAAAAAATGACTATATTGTTGAAATGACTTTTGAATTTACATATTATGTAAATATAAAAATAAATTTTAAGTTTTATTTTATTATTTTGTAAACATTTAGTAAACCATTACAGAAAAAATTTATATAAACGTAATATTTATTTTTGCATAAATAATTCAATAAAAAAAATTGTTAGTAATGTACAGTATATATAATATATTATATATGATACAGTATAAAAAAAATTATATATATATACAGCACGAAATTAAATATGAGATCAAATTTTTATGTGTGAGGAAAGTTCCTCAATATAATCCCTTCAATTTTTTTTCGAAAAATATTTAATTTTCCTTCCCTTGATCGTTAGAAATATGAGATATATTTTTTTATTATTATAGTAAAGTAGCAGGTTAAGCAAATTTTGGAAATTAATATTTTAATTGATATAATTTAATATATAATATAATTTAATATATATTAAATTTTAGATCAATCGGATCAATAATTTTATAGTTATTAAATAAAMTAAATTTTGATTATAATGGGAGGTATACAAGAAAAATCAAACTTTGCCCCCAMAAAACACCCGTCCCTGGGATCAATTGTTATCAAATTTTTTTCGTGACATTATAATTATCAAAAGATGTTCTTAAGGATCTGCTCCTCAAACATAATCTTAAAATTATCAATAATTAAATTATATATATTGAGGCGGTCGGGAAGGTTAAAATCTATAAAAATTATGTAACGACACATGACAAATTAATTGACACAAAAATTACTTTACAATATGTGACTTAACTGTACTCTATCGATAATAACTATAAAAAATATTAAATATTGCTTTTATTAATTATTGTTTTAATAAAAATGATTTTTAATAATTTAATATGGCTCAACTTGAATTGCTGCAATTGAAAACTAATTTAAAAATAATTATAACATTAAATTATTAAAAATCATTTTTATTAAAACAATAATTAATATTTTTATAGTTATTATCGATAGAGTACAGTTAAGTCACATATTGTAAACTAATTTTTGTGTCAATTAATTTGTCATGTGATGTTACATAATTTTTATAAATTTAACAAAAAAAAACATTTAATTATTAACATTTTAAAAATTAATACTAAAAATTAAATTAAACTTAATTATACTATTTATCAATAATACTCAAAATACAGTTTAATATAATATTTGTTTTTTCAAATATCATAATAGAATGTGTTGTTTAGGTTGTTTCAGTAGGTTATAACTTATAACACAAGGAAATTAATTCCCTATGAATTTCCAGAGAATATAATATAACGTTTGGAGAATAAAACGAGGGAAGGAAATTTGATCGATCCCTAAACAATAATATACAGTAATACATATAATAATTGAAGGACAAACATCCAGGCATTGTATATAACTGTGTCTCTATAATATATATAATACCGGTACATAAGCGTATAAATTAATATCGATATATACAGTACAATGGTTGGTAACATTAAATTTATTAATATATATATATATATATTAATAACTGCATACTATTGATGACCATTAAAATATTCATGGTCAAATTAGAAATTAATTTTATTACTATCAATACTATGTACAGTAGTTTAATTCATTAAATTAAATATTTTTTTTTTAAAGAAATCAATTATTTTTTTCTACTATTCATTATCATATAAAATAAGTAATTTTTTATAAGTTTAAAAATAGTTATTTATTTATATTTATTTTTTGTTATCAAAAAAAATAATTAGTAAACAAACAAATATCATTGAACTAATTACTAGAGTATAGATTAAAAGTTACTTAATTTAAAAAAATAGTTACTAAATTACCATAATATTAAAATATGTATTTTTTTWAAAAAAAGTTAACAACTTTTTTTCACATATATAAAAATGTGACTACAAATTGTACAAGTTAAATTAACTATATATATTTAAAAATAGTTATAAACAGTTTATATTATTAAAAATTAATTAAATAGTTTTTTTCTAAAGTTAAGTAACTTTTAATATATATTTACAGATTTCGTGTTACAAGATATCATTGAATTTATAAATACAGTATAAATAATATCAAATAACAGTACTGTCAAACAAATCAGTTTTATTTTATTTATTTTTTTTTATGCAAAAGAAATAACATAAACACAAATCACTGTTTTTCTATTGAATTTTGTTTTGTTGATAAATAAATACTTTTTTTAGCAACCTTTACAAAAAAAAATTACTTTAGTTTTTAATTGTCAAATAACTTTCTAAAATTATATACATATTTGTTACACAACTAATATTTCTAAAGTAGTTTAAATTTTATTATCATCAAAAAATAAATAAATATTAATTTATTTATAGATAACATTGCCCTAGTAACAAAAAAAATATTAATTTTATTTATTTTAAAATGAAATATTTGAATGATAATGATAAAACAATATTATTAGTAATATAAATTTTTACGTTAATAATTATAGTAAATTAATATTAATAATTTAATTTAAAAACATTAATAAACGTTATTTATTAATATAGTTAAATATATATATATATATATATATATATAATAACTTTTATATATAATAATTTAATATTAGAGAGAAAAATTATCAATATAAATTTTCTTTTTACAAAAAAAAATCATACCCTAATAGCAACTGGACGTTTCTAAATACATTTTGATTGTAATTATTGTATTAATATAAGCAGTTTAACATTTGTGCAACTCTCATTGGTCTATGAATTTACAGTACAATATTAAATTAATACATTTACAGTACAGTATAATGCAATGCACTGAATAATACACTGTATTTGAGTGCACATACAGTAAACTGTATAACATATATACACATTGAGAGAGAGAGAGAGAAAACACTATTAATAACAATAAACACAACATTAAAGCCAATGTGTTGTGTATTGTATTGCTGTTTATATTTTACATACATTTAGTATTAATAATATATTAAATGACTCAACAATTATAAACAATACATACAATAATAGGGATTAATAATTAACGATTAAAAAATCAATTTTCAAAAATCAATAATAATATTAACAGTCATTCAGTTTCATAGCATCCGTTAAGTCCGCGATATATCGTTGACCTCTTTTTTCTCGTGTGAGTACCGATCGGTCAGTCGACTGACTGACTAACTGACTGACTGACTGTCCATATCGTAAGTGTTTGTGTGTTGTTTGAGTGGCCAAAGATTGCCATATAATCGGCGCAACAGTTGTGAGATGAACAACAGTGACGATAAAAAGACCGCAAAAATAACATCATTGACCGCAGCCAACAATGACCGCAAATCGCGTACCAGCGGTCCGATGACTAAACTCAAGCAAAAGACAAAGAGTGGCGGAGAAAAGTATGCAACGATGTCATCGACGACAATAAAGACGACAACAATATCGATGGTCAGCGATGATGATGAAGAAGAGTCGTATGAGACGCGCGTCCAACGCAAGAATGTGACCAATAGTGGCAACAATTGCGTGAAAACTATTGCAAACAATGTCTGCTCGACGACAACTGCTCAGACGATTATCACTAACGGCGGACACAAGTTTGCCGATAATAATGTTGATAATAACGGTATTGTAAATGACCAACAAGTGGACGATCCGATGAACACCGACGACGACACTATTGACGAAGCCTTTGCCAATGGAAACGGTACTCATTTGTTGCCAACCATTACGAAGGTCGCCGACATCAACGACAATAATGATACCAATTCGATGTCAATGGATACGAACGGATGGCCATCGGAGGACAATATGACCGATAATGACCCGAACACTAATCTAATACTGAACGGTAGTACCGGAGATCAATTGACACCAATCGATGACAACAATTACGAAAATGAAGGCAAAGAAAATGAAGATAAAGTTATGGACGAAGAAGTTGAAGAACAAGAGGACAACAACAATAAGAATATTGTTGATGTGTCCACCAAAATACGTACCGACTTTACCGAGGTTAGTTTGTTTTTATTATTATATAAGATATATTAATACATGTTATTTATTTAATATTATTATTATTTTGTTTGTTTGTTTGTTTGTGATATTGATTGATAACACAGGTTGAGGATAAAATAGTTGTCTATCTTTACACTAAAGTACATAAGCGTAGAATTATTGACATTAAATACTTCAAAGATGTCCTCCAAGTCCGCTATAAGGGCCAAGAATTTGATCCGATGGACATTACTAACGACACCGATGACAATGTTGTTTACAAATGGCGCAAAACATTGCAGTAAATTATTTGTTGATTTTAAAAAAAAAATATATTCTTMTAATTTAGTAATGATTATGTAATTTAATTGATTTTWAAAAAATATTATATTAGTGGCCAAATAGAGCCCGAATTGTGTCATCATAAGGAGACAAAGGCTACAATTGAGATAACGGTAATCAAAAAGGACAAGAAATTCAAATGGAATGCATTGGAGCGTACGGTTAGTTTGCCGTTCGGTCAGTCAAACGTTAATCAATACCGACCGGTGTCGTCGTCATCGTCGTCCTCGTCGTCAAACAAGAACTATACGATTAACAAAGTGGACGACAATACTTCATCAACAGGTATGGAACTGGTATTAGCGCCCAATTTCAATGAATCAGTCACCTCCTCATTGTCATCACCAGTGATGCGCCCGAAACTGTTTGGTTTTACCGGACTCAAGAATTTTGGAAATACGTGTTTCATGAACTCAGTTGTTCAGTGCCTTTCAAATACCGATCCATTTAGGGATTATTTTACCTGTTAGTAGTACTCTGTTATAGACAGAGATTATTAATAACTAATGTTAAAACTAATGTCATATTTTTTATTTTATTTATTTAATAATAATTACCGATACTATAATCAGCTGGCGTTTACATCGATGATATTAATACAACAAACCCGTTGGGCTCTGGCGGTGTTCTATGCAAGACGTTTGCCGAAGTTATGCGACAACTATGGACCGGCACTGAGATGTCGATAGCGCCGTATCGACTCAAGGATCGTATGGGCGAAAAGTGCGCCACTTTTTCGACTTATATGCAACAGGACGCCCAAGAATTTTGCGCCTATTTATTGGATGTTCTGCACGAAGATCTTAATAAGCGACGCGAAAGGCCTAAAGTTCCTAAAGATGACGACAACAATGCCAACGAAGAGGATGAAGTCGACGATCAAATTCTGGCCGACGAGTCGTGGCACAGGTTTGGCCTAAGAAATGACTCTATAGTTACGCAACTATTCTATGGTCAATATAAGTCAAAGCTAGTCTGTCCTACCTGTTCAAAGGTTTGTTACACTTTTTCAGATAAACATAGATCCACATAAACAGATCCAAATAATATAAAACTTAATAAACCGTTTGTTGTATTTTTTYYAACAACAAAAAAACAGATTTCTGTAACCTTTGATCCGTTTGTCTATCTGTCGTTACCGTTGCCGAAACCGAAGGTCGAGTATGAGGTATACTTCTATCGTCGGGATTCCAATGGAATGGCCACTTCGAAACCCGTCAAATATACTATATTATTAGCCAAAGACTCGCTCGTCCAGACCCTGTTGGACGAGATCTCCCAATTTACAGGAGTTAAGCCATCATCGGTAAGCTGTTATGCAGACATATGCATATACATGTATATTATTTTTAATTGTGTTAATACAATGTAATGTATATTTTATTTTTAAACATCAGTTACGTTGTCTACAATCACATCCCGACGGATCACTAGAGAGATTCTTGCAGCCAATGTGGCCGCTTAAGAAACCGGAAACCGGTCGCACTTTGTTAGTGTTTGAGTTGATGGCGGCTACCGAACCCAATGAGAGTGTTTGCGAATTTTTTGTTGTACAGGTAGTTTAGTTTTTTTTAATACATTTTATTATTATTATTTATTTGTAACCAATTGTCTAATTATTGTTTTTACTATAATTAGCGCATTCAAATGCCATTGTCTAAACCCGACACTTGTAGCTACTGTGATAAGACAGACAGTTGGGGAGACAATGAAGACCTGGATCTTCAATGGTGCGAAAAGTGCTACCGAGTTGTCTACTGTTCAAAGTAATTGTCTATTTGTGCAAATAATTATTTTATTAACTATTATTATTATTATATTTAATTAAATTTTTTTWAATTATTTTTTTCTATACAGAGACTGTCAGACCAGTCATTGGGCAAAACATAGTGTATTCTGTGTGCCGAAGCCTCTAACCATTGCCCAGCCATTTGTGATAACGGTACCGAAATCACAGTTAACTTACCGTAATTTGGTGTCCATTATATATTCATACGCCCGCCATTCTGTCGAATTAAATGAACCGTTAAATTTAAACGAATTTCCGATACCATCGCCGTTCGAGCTCAGGGTCTATCGCGACTTAGCTAAAGGTGATAAAGAGGAGCTGATAGTACCCGCTTCTCATACCGATAACGACAATGCCTTTGACAATGTGTTGAACATTGAAAACTACTACTGGATAGCAATGGATTGGAAAAATTCGCCCAATTTTGGTGACAATTGGCTTCAAGTGAATCCATTAGCCGGAATCAACTGTATAGTAGATATGTCGCACCGGATACTGCATAATAACGAAGACATTAAACTCGAAGACTGTCTTGAGTTGCATACGAAACCAGAAGTTCTTACATCAGATAATCCATGGTTTGTTAGATTACCACTCTTTAAACAAAAAGTTTACTTCAATTGTATTTTTTGTATTGACAGGTATTGTCCGAAATGTAAAGAAGACAAACAGGCCATCAAACAGATAACACTGTGGCGTTTGCCTCAAATACTTATCATCCAACTAAAGAGATTCAGTTTTCGTAACATAATGTGGCGCGAAAAGCTTGACTCAATGGTCAGTTATCCGATTCGTGGACTAGATATGAGTAAATACTATGTCCGCACCGGTAACGTTGCCGATTGTAATCCGATTTACGATTTGTATGCTGTGATCAATCATTATGGCGGCCTATTTGGCGGTCATTACACGGCTGACTCACGAACCAGCAATGGACACATGAATTTAGGTTATTTTATAGAAATTTATTTTTTTTAATTACAATATAATTATTATTATTTGACTGATAGGTTGGCGCTCTTTTAATGACTCCCACGTCGAAGCCATCGATGAAAATTCATTAGTTACCCGAAATGCTTATATGCTTTTCTATAAGTTACGCGAAAATTGACTACAAATTTGTTTATTATTATTATTATTAAATTGTATTATTACCGTAAGTTTGTTATTGTATAATAACAAGTTCCGTTTAGATTATATTATTAATATCTATTATTATTAAATAATTAAATTTTGTTTATTAATACAATTTATTATAATATAAAAATATTGTTTTGTTATGACTTAAAAAAAATTAACAATTTGTTTATACATACTATACATACCGTTCATATGATAAACAGTATATACATTAATAAGAGAATATATTTTGAAAGATAGTCATTAAATTTATGTAAAATTGTGTTTTTCTTATTTCAAATTAAATAATTGCATTTTATATTTAATTTTGAATGTCTAAATAATTAAGCATTAATATTGTTTATAAAGAATATTGATTTTAAAAATAAATTAAATAGATTTCATTGTTTTATTTTTTAAAAAATTACAATACATTAAATTATTGTTATGTTAAATACAAGTTTTTTGAATTTGTGCTAAAAATTGCCATCAAATTTATTGTGTGTTTATTGTTTGTTATAATTTTGTGATTGATATACAAAATATATTTGCAATAATAACAAATAAATAATGAAAACATTTTTTGTTTGTTTGAATGATTGATTGAAATGCTCAAAATGTATTTTAAACATTAAACTTATTGTTAATTTTTTATTGCTAATAAATTATATATTACTAAAACTATAATTAGATAAAAATTGAATATTAAAATATATTACGGTAAGTATATTATTAATAGAAAATTCAAATATTTAATTTTAAAAGATATATTAGAAAATAATAAATTGATAATTAAAGAATTTTGTATATATATAAAAATAAATTGATTTCTTGAACAATAAATTAATTTAATTATTTAATAATAAAATGCAATTTATTATAATTTTCTATTTATTTATTTATTTTTTAATAACAATAATTATTTATTTAATTAATTAATATATACATATATATTTATAAATTATAAAACTAAAAATGTATTAGAAAACTCAATCCATAACTACTACTTAACTTCATTAATAAAACCAGTTTAGTATCAGATTTCGGGTTTGATTTGTTTTAGTTTGTATTAAGTGTTTGGTTTGAGTTATATTACTGGTTTGGGTTTTATTAAGACCTATGGTTTGGGTTTGATTAGGGCCTACAGTTTGGGTTTGATTAAGGCTTACGGTTTGGGTTTTATTAAAACCTATGGTTTGGGTTTGATTAGGGCCTACAGTTTGTGTTTGATTAAGGCTTACGATTTGGGTTTGATTTAGGCTTACGGTTTCGGTTTGATTAAGGCTTATGGTTTGGTTTTGATAAATGGTTTCATCATCTATTCGAAATAACAAGAAATCATTATTATTATTAATAGTCGTTTGATTGACAGGTTTAAATCGTGATGAATATTGGTCTCTAATTCTATAAATTATTAAAAAACAAATAAAACAAAATCAATAATTGAATATTTAATAATAAATTAAAATTAAAAAATATATATACAATTTAATTAAATTCAATACTTTTTATCGATATTACTCATGTAATTAACATAAATGGCATCAATTAGGACGACATCAGTAATATTAGGATTTTTTCTCGAAAATAGATTAACCCGATGTATAAAACCCACTATATTTTGTTTGATTGTATGAACGGTAACTTCATTGATCTGACCTAACGGTTCGGTATCCGTATATAAATAGGTAAAATTTTTGCCTCTACTATATCTGGTTAGAGCTCTATTATAGTCTATTTTTATAGACTTATCGCCAGTTAATTCAATTTTTGTCAAAAGAAAACCAACAGTTGATAGTTGTGATATTGATATCTAATAATAAATTGCAACAAAAAAACTTATTATTTTAGTTAAGTCATTGATATTTAGTTTTGATTTTCGGTTCTAATCTAATTTATTAGTAAAATAATACCACAATCTGATAGTGATATAAACAAAACGGCCGTTTATCGGAAGTCCTTATATAATAATCGTTTGATTTTTTATTTGAAATTTTAATCCAATTATCCGATTTGGACCAAAACTCGGGCATAAACTCCATAGGCATACACCAACTATTATCATCACCGCAATCGCCACAATTGCCATCAATAAAGTCTTTGTTACTGTTGCACAGGTAGCCAATCATTTGGCATTCATTGGTATCTTTATTGTCGTGCAAGTGACCAAATAATGGCAATATTGTAGCTCTCGAGTGATCGCAGACCACCTTTTTACGTATACCTAAGCTTATCATACAAATATTGTTTTAATTAGAAAACACGATTTTTTGTTGATTTTGTATATTTATATATAAATATATTTTGGTATAAATGAAAAAAAATAAAATAATGAATAATACTTTTCAATTCAAAAACAAATAAATTGCTAAATGATTTTCCACAACCAGGCTGTCCATTGCCTATAAGTATAACAGTATAAAAGTATATAAAGTTTAGATAATTCATATTTTTTAATATAAAAGTATTTAAAACAAAAAAAATATTATTCACACAATTTTTTTTGTTGAATTATTTTTTTWAAAACTAAAAAATTTACCAGCATTGGGCCAAAAATCTAAATGTCCCAATGAATTACCGTTACCCAAAAAACCAAAAAATTGTATGCTTTCAAATAGGTTTTCACCGATATAATTGTCAACTAATTAATAATAATAATAATAATAAAACAGTGTAGTTATAAATTAAAATTTCAAATAATATAATGTAATCCAGTATTTACCCGATTTTAATACACCGGCACTCGTATGTATAACTTTAACAAGTGTTGCGTCGTTTTTATTGAGACTATAAGTATAAAATCCGGGACCGGCCGGATCTAATGCAGTGATTTGTCCGATTTTTGTCTCATTAAAACGTTTGCCGGCAAAACCGCATACATGTGCACCAAGACTGTGGCCAATCAGATGAAAATCTTCTGGCGAGACATCAAAATAGCCGATCAATGTCCTGATAAATTCGGCTACCAGTGCGCCAACAATTTGCGTATTAAACGCAGAGTTGAAGTAGAGTTTTGATTTTGCCGCTTCACGCCAATCAACAATTATTACATTATAATTGTAGTTTAAAAAATAATCTTTCATATTCTAGTAAAAAAATTGTCACAAATAAGCATGGTAAATTTTTTTGATTAATAATATTATTGCATATTATTGTTATTACTTAAAAAAAAATTTTAAAAAATGTTAAACTAAACTCACTAACAGCCATCCAATCACTTCTAATATGGTCACCAATATAGCAATCTCTAAAACAATCGGTATAACCATGTATTATGAAAACAATTTTTTTGTCCGGAAAAAATTTTGCATCATATATCTCATTGTAAATTGAATCGTTTTTCCACGAAAATACCTGTCCATCAGTCGACTCATTTGTATATAAAATAAATGAAACATTTGCCGCAATTGGATTCATTGGGCAAATAGATAATAGTTTGTTAATCATAAATATGTTATTCAAATATAATAATGACTTGATTTCAGTTAAAAAATTGTTTGCCTGATCACCAAAACATCCAATAGTTTCAAAACAATCTTTTTTAAAACCTTTTTAAAAAATATATATAATTATAATATTAATTGTATATTAATTTAATTTAAATTTTTTGTGAATTAAATTTATTAATTTTATAGTGAACTTTTTATTTATTTACTTACAATTATAATCTATTGATGTATTAGCCCAACAAATAAACAATTGTATTACAATTAAAATATAACACAATGTTATTTGTACCATTATAACGTTTAAAAAAAATTATATTTCTAAAAAAATTAATTAGACATAATTATTTAATAATTAAGTAAATTAAGTATTGATTACATTTTAATATATATATATACCAGTATACCATATAAATTATTTAAATAGTATTAAACAAGTTATATTAAGTTCAGATGACTATATAAATACATAATTATAAATAGTATACTAAATATCATAGTAATAAATAGTATATACATATAAAAAACAATATCAAATAAATAATATCCTATCTTAATTTAGTCAATAACATAAATAATAATTATTAATTAAAAATAATTTTCCATAAAATTAATTATTTTATGTTACTATTTTTCACAATTAGTAATTTATATAGAATATCTTATTTAATAAAAATGTATGTTTAAGGAAGTTTTGAGTGTGTAATTGTTTATATTAAAAACATATTTGCAATATTTAATTAAATATTTTTAATCAAAAATTATTAAAATTTATTCATTCTATTATTATTTTAATGTTATATTTTTTTTAAAAAAACCTAAAAAATTAAAATATAAACCTCTTTATGATTTTATGTTTGATTATTTATATAAATTATTACAAAATTATAGTCGAAATAATAGTTGATATTTATTATTAGTAGACGATTCATATTCGGGCATCAATTGTGATGAATATTGATCTCTAATTCTATTAATTACAACAACAAAAAAAACATTATATATTTTATAAATACAGTAATAAAAAATATTTAAATATAGTTTAATTAAAGTCTAAACCTTTTATCACTATTACTCATGTAATTAACATAAATGGCATCTATTTGTACCCCATTATTACGATTACGATATTTTTTGCTCCTAAACAGGTTAGCCCGTTGTAAGTAATCAACGACATGTCGTTGTTGGATTTGAACAGTTGCCTCATTGATCTGACCTAACGATTCAGCACCGGTATACAAGTAGGTATAGTTTTTGCCACTAGTGAATCCAGTGATAAAACTATTCAACGATATCTGTATAGATTTTAAGCCAGTTAGTCTAATCGTTATGAGACCAGCATTAAAGTTATTTCCTATTGATATCTAATATAAAAATTATTATAAAATTATTATTAAAAAACAATTTAATATTAATATTTATTAAATCTATTAATCTATTAATTAAAATACCAGTATCTGGTAGTGAAACAAACAAAACGGCATCTTATCGGTAGTCCTTAAAAACAAATTTCGTGGATAGCTTACAACAGCATTAACCCAGTTATCCGATTTGGTCCAAAACTCGGGCATAAACTCCAATGGCATACACCGACTATTGTCATCACCACAATCGCCACATTTGCCATCTGCAAAGTCGCCATTATTGTCGCACTGGTAGCCAATCATTTGACAATCATTGGGCATCAATTGTTTGTGTCGTTGATAACCATTTAATGGCAATTCTGTAGCTCTCGAGTGATCGCATGAAGCCTTATATTTAAGACCTGTAGACATCAATAATAATGGTATGATTAAAGTAAATATATATATTGATATATATTTAATTATTTAATACCGCAATTGATTTATAATAATAATAATTAAAAAAATATTTTACCACTTAAACCCAAATCAAATAATTCATTTAACGATAAAATTTTTTCACAACCTCGTTGACCATTACCTATAATTATAAAGAGATATAACAGTTATTTTTATTATGATTTGTTGTTGTTGTTGATTAAATTAAACAATTATAGCTTATTTAATAGTTGGGCTAACCTCCATTGGGCCAAAAATCGAAATGTCCTAATGAATCGTCACAACCTAACCAACCAAATAGTTGTATGCTTTCCAATGGATTTTCACCGATAAAATCATCGACTAATTTAAATTTTAAATATAAATTTATATTCAAAGAAAAATAATAAAACAATTAGAAATACCATTTTTCGTTAGTCCGGCACTTGTATGTAAAACTTTAACTAGTGTTGCATCGTCTGGTGACAGTCTATACGATGAAAATCCTGGACCGGCCGGATCTAAGCCAGTGATTTGTCCGATTTTTGTATCGTTAAAACGTTTACCAGCAAAACCACATACCTGTGCGCCTAAACTATGACCGATTAGATGAAAGTCTTGCGGTTTGGCACCAAAAATGTCGATCAATTTTTTGATAAACTCGGCAACCATTGCSCCAACAATTTGTGTATTGAAGGCCGAGTTAAAGTAATTGAGCGAATTTGCCGGTTCTCGCCAGTCGACGGCTATGACATTGTAATCATAATCTAAAAAATAATTTTTAATATTCTAGATAAAAAAATAATCATTATATAAATAAAAAAATAAAATATCATATATATATATATAAATTTATATATAGATTAAACCATACAGCCATCCAAGCACAGGTAGTAGAATTGTCATCATCATAACGATTGCAATCATCAAAATAATCAGTATATCCGTGTACTATAATAACTGTCCGTTTTTCTGATGAATATATTTTTGATTTCGCTAATTGCTTGTAGAAAGAGGTGTCGCCATAAAATGAAAACACCTGTCCATCGGTCGACTCGTTTGTAAACAAACTGAACGAAACGTTTGCCGTCAATGGATTCATCGGACAAATCGATAAAATTTGTTTTAATGTTAGAAAATTTTTTGCCGATTGAAAAACGTTTCCCGTTGTCAACAACGACTTGATTTCGGACATAAAACTTTGTGTCGGAAAACATCCCAACTCTGGGAAACACTCTTTTTTGAAGCCTTCAAATATATTAATAAATATATGATATAAAAAATAAAGTAAAAAATACAATTTTATTAATATTTTTTTTACAATAATTTACTCATAATTTTTAAATTTAGTTGTTTATGTATTATTTACTTACAATTAAAGTCTAATATATTTGGTATAATAGCCAAACAAATATATAATTGTGTTATAAAAATAATTTTAAACACTAATAATATTTGTGCCATTTTATATGATACTATTTTTAAAAAAAAAATTGTTTAAAAATAATTTTTAGTAATTAGTTAAATTTATAAAAGTAGTGAATTAATTATAGTTTGTTAACTCAAAAAAAAAATATTACAAAACTTTATATACTTTGTTACAAAAATGATAAAAATTTTGTTAACAAATACATACATAAGTCTAATAATATTTAATTTTCATTAAAAAAATCCGACTTCTGTCAGCTTCCGAGTCTAGACTATGTCTATTGTATTCCTAAATAATAAACAAACAAAAAGTTATCGTTTTTTTTTTTAAAAAACTATAACTTCTGGGAAGTTATACTTCCCGTGAATTTCAAACATTTCAGATACAGAATATATAAGATATCCTCTATAAAGATGTCATATATATAATAGTTTGTATTTGTTTTTTATTTAAATTAAACAATTATGTCAAGGTTGTTTGAAAAAATCATATTATTTTATAATTATAAAAAGTAATCGATAGAAAATATTATAATAATATTTTTTTTTTGAAATTAAGTTCATTTATCGTAAATTGATTTATGCGACTCTAATTAATGAGAGGTAAATACTGTAATAATAATAATATACAATTATATTTCCGTATTACCAGAAAACACACACATTTATTAACAGATAAAAGTCATTTAACTAAAAATAATAATTATTTTTATTTTATTATTTAAACAATTAAGAGATTAAAATAAACAATTTACCGGTATATTTATTACTATAATTTTAACAGTGAATAAATTGCAAGACATTGTAAAATCAATAAATGTTTAATTAATTTTGTTTTAAACATAAAAAAACTATTTAGACTCTGAATAGACTTTTTGTAACCAATTATAGTAAACTAAAACTATTTTAGAAACTAATTGTCTGGAAGTAGACGAAGATAACTGTTTTAGACAACTGTTTTCAATGCTGTCAATAATTTGTCCGATATATTCACAAAACTCTTGTTTCATATTTAGCTGACTGTAAACCAGTTTTATCTTATCGACAGCTATATGATTGTCGGCACCCAAACCATAATTATCCAATAGTACGGATCGTTGTTCAGGACTGGCCATTTCCAATGCCCGTACATAAAGCCAACTGCATTTACCTTCAGCTATATCAGTGCCGTTACTTTTGACGTAGACATCCGAATAGTCATTGTATGCACCAGTAAGTCGACCACATTTCACTAGACATTCCTCAATTATATGTCTGTCCTTTTGATTAGTTTGGCCAGTGGCTGTCATTACTGTCAATAATTAATAATAATAATAATAATTAAATTTAAAATTTGTATTTTAATTTTATACTATATACAGTATTGTACTAATATAATAAATACGGGTATATTATTATCTAAATGTTTCACCTAGTTTAAATGGATATAAAATTGCAAAACAAGCTTCCTTATACTTGCTAATAGTTGTCCAACAATTATCAGTGTATTGTTCAAATTGAGCATGCTTATTTGTCGATTTTGTATTCATTAAATCCATTGACTGACCAATTGATACATTTTCGATCGTCTTTTTTAAAATAAAATATCATATGTAATAACAATTATTTTTAAAAAAAAAATTATTAAATATTTATATCAAAGTCATATCATATCATATTATACCTCATGAATACATTCAACAATATCCATATAACATGGATGTCCCTTAAAGTAATGTTTAGCCAATTTAAACACAACTGATAATATTAGTGTACAATCGTTTAAAGCTATCATTCCTACATCAGGCTATTTTTTTATGTATAAACATTTATTATTATTATTATTACTAATAGATATTACTGTATGTCTAATTAAATATAATTTATTATAAATAATATAAAAAAATACTAAAAATGTTTATAATACCAATAAATGCCAACATGTTTTGCCAAATCTAGTATCTGACTGATCGACAATATCATCAATCATTACAAAATAGATTACAACCAACTGATCTATCCAACCCAATGCTATTAGTTGATCATCGGATAGTTGTATTAGTGGTCGTCGATCATCATCATTATCACCCGGTGCTGACTGATCAATGGATAGCATACAATTGTAATACATATAGATATTATTGCCACCAATATCTAGTTCCGTACGATAAATATAATCGATTAGTTTCTTAAACCATTGGCCAACATCCCTAAGCTGTGGCTCAGATATGTTAGTCAGCTGTCTATCATTAGGCGAGTTGTTGCTATTGTCGATCAATTGCTGATCAATAAATTCAGTCATCATTTTATTAAACTTAAGCAAATAGTTATTAAGTTTGTCGGAATCAATAGTAAATTTTTCTCTGTATAAAAAATTAAATTATAATTTTTTATTCTTTAAATAAAATTATTGTTATTTATTTTTAAGTATTATTATTATTAGTAGTAATTATGAATATTTATATTATATAAAGTAGTTATTAAACGCTAAGTACACTGTAATATACTATATATATACTTATAATTAATATATATACTTTATTAATACCAATAATATCAAGTTAGTTTAATAATAAAGATTAATTATATAAATATATATTTACCCGCAAAACATTTCAAGTTGATTTGTCAATTTATAAGCCATTATTGTAATTAGTTAATCACAAAATATATATTTATATATATTTGTTGAAAAAATATTTATATTTTAAGTACAATAATCTAGAATAATGTTAAATGATATAAATTGATGTTTTATAAACATAAAAATAAATATTAATTTTTTTGATAATATATAGAACTTATATACTTTAATATAATATAATTAAGTTATCTTAAAAATGTGTTATGAATTAGCATTTTTTTTAAGTAAAATATGTGTTTATTTGAATTATCATTTTTATTACAAAAATGTGTCACAGTTTTAATTTATAATTCATAAATCTATTTAAAAAAATTATAATAATTATTTTGATATCTATTAAATTTTATTGAATTTTTTTTAATTATAAATATTTTTTAATTGATGACTATAATCTACTATCTGTTAAGATATTTAATATGAATTTAGGTTTTTATACTATGTTTTACAATTATATTTAAAATAAAAACACAAGTGTTTTATCTTATTTTTTAAAAAAAATAATTTAATTTTATATGCCATTTATTAAGATGATTAATCAATTTTGAACATTTTTGCTTTAATATTATTGTAATAAAATACTGTTTACTAATAAATAGTTAAATAATTAACTGTGCATTAAAAAAATAAAATATATTATAATACATGAAAATTTTGATTTATATTTTATTTTTTTGTTTTATTAAGTAATATTGATATTTATTATGAACTATTGTATATAAATAAAGTTCAGTATAAACCGGTACAATATATATTTTGTACTAAAAAACTATTGCTATCAAGGCAAAATTTAAAAACAAATAGATTTTATTATTTTAAAACAATATTTTTAGTAGATTTAAATTAATAATTTAAATTAAAATACACTATAAAAATAAAAAATAATAATAACTATAGTGATAAAAAAATTGTTATATTCATGGATTATATTTTCATTTAATTAATCATAATTGTAGTAAACTTTTTGAAGTTTTATTAATTGTATAAATAACTACTGGTTTTAATAGTAAATATACTAAAATATATACAGTAGTTGTTTGATAATTTAAAAAAAGTATAATATATTATTATAAATTGACTATGTATTTAATCAATTTGTTAAAAAAACACTAATATTTATTATATAAAAATAATAAATTCTTTAACTATAAATAAATACAGTAAATATAATATACAAAAAACATGTAATTTTTGTATAAAAAAAGTTGCGTTCAGTCATTATCTGGTGAACCAGTGGTCATATGTTGCGGTCAAACATATATTGTGGACTCAATTAAATGTTAGAAATAATGAGATACTAGTGATAAAAATTATTCGTCTACCAGAAGCTACCGACAAAAAAAACGGAAACATTTTTTTATAATAATAGAATCTTGCGGTCAATATCTATCATTTGATATGTAATGACAACAACAATAACAGGTATTAACAATATTAAAACAATAAAATCTAAGACAAGTTTGAAATAATATGAAATAATATCTAAATATGAATATTAAAAAAAACCTGGATAATCAAAAATTAAATTAATTTTTAATTTAAAAAATATATAAGTGTTTAATCAAAACTCGTTTTATTAAAAAAATCCTATTTTTTGCTGTTTCCTTACAATTCATAAGTAATCTATTTCTTTGTATTCAAAAATCAATTATTAGATGACCATTGAATCTGTGCTGTGATTATCATCAATAAAATCATCCATTGAATCATCGATTGATGGACAGAACAGTTCATTTGAATAGTAGCTGTCGTCACTGTTGAACATACTGTCCGTAATATATGCCGACCTATTGCTACTATCTATTGTCGTCGTCTGACGAACTGAACTGACACTAAGTACTGATCTCATACTGAATGATAGATAACTGACATCAGAGGAAGAGTCTGGAGATATAATGCTTGTTTCGTTAGCATAATTAGAGACGGAATGGTATGTTGTTGTGATTGTCGGACCGTCGGATGAATTCGTATCGTCTATAGAACCGGTGTGAACACCATAGAGTCCATCGTAAATGGTTTCAATCATACTGTCAATGGATTGATTGATCTCCTGTTCATTACTGCCACAAATGTTCATCAATTGATCCAACACTTGTTGCCTCTGTTGACGAACAGTTTCTGCTTCGGTCAGCTCTTTCTGAAGAAGTTCAATACGGTTCTCGTCGTTCATCAGATAAATAGTGTATCGCTTAATGATCGCCAATAGTCGGACCGAAATCAAATCGTAGTCATTGTCGGCGTCGTCGCCAATGTTATGGCGAATACTTGTCATCAGTTGGCGACAAATCGGACAATTCTTGTGACTCTCTGTCCATCGCAATAGACATTTCAGACAGAACTCGTGCCGACAGTTCGAGAGCTGACACTTGTCAACCAATTGTGACAAACATATGGGACAATCGGCCGAGAATTTGTTGTCATTATCACCGATAGGAGGATCCGATGGGGCTTTTGATGTTGACATTACACTTGATTTCAATTATTTGTAATATTTTTTTTAAAAAAATATAAAATTAAAATATCAGTTAAACTTTATTGCATATTCGCTACACTTATCTTTAATAATTTATTACTAATAAATAATTATTAGTTGAAAGAAACAATTATAAATCATAAAAATTGATTGATATAAATTCATTTTGATTAATAAAGTTTGATTATTAATAAATTCAGATACTTTTTTGATTATTTTGCAAAAAAAATAGGAGACAACAAAACAAAATGGCAAACAATCCGAAACTGTTATCATTAAAATCTGGTTCATTGAGAGTTGTATAACAAAGGGGAAGTTTATATGGGTTTTAAACGGGAAACCAATTAATGCACAATTTTTTTGTCGACAATCAATAGGTCACAATTGGACACAGTTTCGCAATGTGGGCACCAATTTGATTGAAAGACACATAAAGTATTCAATTATTTGGTTTCAGATTTCATGAGGATTTAGGAGATTCCCATACAATTCAGTCAATTGAAAATAAAATTTTTGCTTAAAGTTATTTTTTTTTGTTAATTAGTTTAATTAAAAAACAAGTAATACAAATGTAGATTAAGAGTTTTGGTTTCAAATTTTCCGACAATTTTTTGTCAGCAAATTAAAGAACAATAAAACTAATTAATTCTAATTAACTTTTTTTTTAAAAACAAATTTTCATAAATTTATTTTTATATTTGTTATAACTTTTAAGGCTTCAAAATTTTCACAGTTTGTCTCCATAGGATTATATGATCGAGTAATAGATAGATTGATAGATAGATACTGTAGTAAAATAAAGTCATTTATTTTGTTGGCTTATAATTTATTATAAAAAACTATTTTCAACTTAAAATTGATTGAAATCACTTAATTAAATGATAGATTTGTATAGATTTTACTCGATATACTAAATAGTAATACAGTTTGTAATATAACTAATTTACATAATATAATGTACAGTATAATGATTACATAATTTTTATTTCATTAAATGCAATACTAATCAAATTTTTTTACTAAAAAATCAATTAATTGATTACTTCGTTGATTTGGACACCTGTTTGGATGATTCACCGACAGTAGTATCGATCTCATGGCGTGACTGTTGACTATCTTTACTGTTCATCGATTGTATGACCACTTCATCGTTACTTTCATCACTCAAACCATTTGTTAAATCCATTGAATCATCGATTGATGGGCACAACAGTTCACTTGCATAATAACTGTCTTCACTGAAAATACTGTCCGTAATATATGCCGATCTATTGCTGCTTTCCATTGACGGGTCACTGCTGTTAACTGATATAATGTCTGAATCGGTATCATTGTCTCTGTTACTAATAATAGACCTCATACTGGCTGACCAAACATCAGAGCCATAGTATCTGGTGATTGAATCGTCCATATGTTGTATATTATAGGGCATCGAAACAGATGTCTGCAAATTTTCAATGTCATAAACAACAGCATTAATAGATATATTGATCTCTTCTTCGTCATTGCCATCGATACTCATCAATTGATCCAACAATTGTTGTCTTTGTTGACGAACTTCTTGAGCACTGTTCAGTTCTCTCTGAAGACGTTCGATACGATTCTCGTCGTTCATCAGATGAATATTCAAACGTTTAATGATATCTAATAATCGGACCGAAATCAGATCGTAGTCGTTGTCGGCGTCGTCGCCGATGTTATGGCGAATACTAGTTATGGATTGACGACAAACCGGACAATTCTCGTGACTCCCTGTCCATCGCAATAGACATCTCAGACAGAACTCGTGCCGACAGTTCGACAGCTGACACTTGTCGACCAATTGTGATAAACATATGGGACAATCGGCCGATAATTTGTTGTCGTTATAGTCGATAAGCGGATCCGACAGGGCTTCTGACATAATACTTGTTTTCAATTTCTTTCAAGTTTTAAAAATATTTTATTTTTTAAGTTTCAAATTTAATTATTAAGTATTTAAATAAAAATTTTTATTTTTGTTTTTACAATAAATCAATGTTGTATTAATCCAATTGTAGTTTTTTTGGGCTTAACTTCTGTATATACAGTATATAACGTATTGATTGTTGTAGTTTCACGCGCGCTGTCATAACAGTTAAGTTTATAACAAATACAGTACTATTTTATTACTTTATTTTAGGAAATGGTGTACACATTGTGTACATTGGATGTGCTGTTGTATAGTTTAGCTGACACTTGTTAGCACGCGATTAGTATTTCTATATATTTTAGTTAAGTTTAGATTAGGTTAGGTCAGGTCGCGCGACAATAAATATTTACAGTTTGTGTTTTTTATTTCCTGGGACAACAAAACTATGACCCGACCGGAAATGATATTCTCTATCACCGACAACATCACATTGAACTACCGTATCTGTTGGACAGCCATTATGTCAAGTGGACACTCGGTAACAGTCTATCTCAACCATTATAATGAAAACAATTAGCGAACAAAATTTTTGCCGACAATCAATAGGACACTGTTGACTAGACTGACCATCCATACAGGTGCCGCCTGTATTATACAGGAATGTATGGTTGATACAGGTGACAGGAAAGGGGCTAACCTGTATAATGTAATATACAGTTTTAAAATATGTTAAACTAATTAATAAATAAAAGTATAAAATAACTATCAAGTAAAATTTTTTAATAAAAATTGCTTGTATTTTTGATATAAAGTTTAAATATATAAAATAAATTTWAAAAATTTAAATTTTATAAAAATAAAGTTATTCATGTTCAAAATAGAAAACTAAATTTCATCTTTTTATGTAATTATAATATTTAAATTTAATTTTTATTAATTTATATAGTTATTTAAATACAAGTTAATATACAGAAATATAATATTTAATATACAGGAAAATACAGGTGAAATTCATATATTTTATTATATTATACAGGTTTACTAATAAATTGGGTGGTCAGTCTACCGTTGACTCAGTTTCGCAATGTGGGCACCAATTTGATTGAAAGACACAAAAGTATTGGTTTAATATTTCCCGACGATTTAGGCAAACGAGTAAAACCAGAACAACAAAACTGATTTATTTATTTAATTTTTTATTTGTGAATACAATTCAGTTAATTGAAAATTAGAAATTATTTTTAAATATAAAATACTATATACAGTACTATTGATAAAACGTTTATATCTACTAAACAATTATTACATACATTTCTTACAGTTTATAACTGTGGTTTACAAATTTATTAGTCAAATAAAATTTTTATACAATTTATTTATTTACATACTATATACAGAATTATCATATTATTTAAATTGAAAATCTTGTTAAAATAAAAGAGAAAAAAGTATACAAAGTTTTATTGGTTTTACAGTTAAAAATGAAATAACATTATTGAAAATTAGTTTCAATTGGGAGTTGGCTGTCGTTGTCGTCGTCTATCAATCACTCAATTAGTCAATCAGTCGTCATCATCACCACAGGCCGGCGCGTTGTTGACKGTATCCAGACGTACAATACGGAGCTTTTCATCGGTTAAATGGACGACAGCGGCCTCGTTATCGGTACCGCAATAGTGTGAACTCGAGAAAATTGTCGTACATTTGTTGCCAAAATGAAATGTAAAACCTTTTTCTGGCACTTCGTGAGCCCGGACTACATGTGTTAAACCGTTTTTCTGGAGAAACTGATTGATAGCTTCTTCGGCAAACAGATAACCAGTACTACGTTTGACGTTTGGCAGAAAACCTTTGGCCTTCTCCGGCTTAATGTCCAACAGATCGGCCGTTTCGGTGTACATCTGGTGCGAGCACGGGTCTGACCACATCACTTGCCAGCATATCGACGACTCATTGTCCGGATCTGGCAATTCTTTAGGCTGTTTGTTGATGTCGTCAATGCGTTGTGTGTCGTACGGTATGCCTCCGTGAGCGCAATATATGGCATCGTCTACTACGGCACAAAAKGGCAATCTATCGAAAACCCTGTTTGTCATCTCAAACACTTTGAGGCCCAACTTATCGCCGTATTTGTTGAGACACTCCTTATAGTAGGTATAGTTTTTCTGAATACGGCGTATCTCATGGTTACCGCGCAACATAACCACTTTATTGGGGGCCAACAGTTTCATACACATGATATAAATGGCGCACTCGACGCCCCACTGTCCTCTGTCGACATAATCACCGAGAAATATATAATTGGCTGTAATTAGAGGCAAATTTTTCCACAAAACCTTTTCCATTGTCAACAGATCTTCGAGATTGCCGTGAATGTCGCCAATGATAAACGCCGGCGAATTGGTTTGCACACACCTGTCCTCATTGGCCACTATTTTCTCGACCTGAGAGCACAACTTTTCCAATAATTTGATAAATTGTTTTCTTTCTTTCGGGTCATAAAGTAATCCTTTGCCATCTTTGTGCGTACCTTTCATGCCATTAAACACGTGTATCTGTTGTATGAAATAGTTGGCCACMGATTGAGGATTCCAGACGTAATCAATGGAAAATTTGTCACTCGTTAGACCTATTATACAGGAATTGCTCGGAATTCGTGGTAATTGTTTCTCCGACGACGACGACTGGCCATTGACTTTGTTTGACTTTTTTAACATATTTTTGTCATCAGATTTTGTCATTGTCTCATCAAAATTGTTGGTCAAAACTGAATCAACTTCAGGTAATTTTTGGGCACCAATACACTGACCGTCTTTATTCAACAGTACTATATGTATGGCATATTCGTAGGTTTTTTCGCGACACGACAGACAAACACCTTTGTATTTGCAGTGCCGAAGCATTGACGCCAAACTCATCTTAACTGACTGTCGGCTAAGTGTTCGCGAGACCATTGATCGAGATATTTGCTGAACAATAGGCCGATTAGATCGACACAGAGCATGAGTTCCGCGAAACATGTGGGCGCCAACCGCTCGGTAAAAGTCATCAAAATAGATACCTTTAATTTTCTGGCCAATTGTTGTCATACTTTCTGAGACTTTTGTGTCGATAGTCGCGGCACTCTCTTTTGGATAAATATCAGCGACCATTGCCTGGAACTCATCCCTACTTAGATATCCGTCGCCATCTRAATCATAGTAAGTAAAAATGAATTTGATCCGAGTCTGACCATTTTTGGCCATCGGATCCATTGATGTTAAACCCAACAAAAACTCGTGAAACGTGAGATAATCGTTTCGATGATAATTAAATGCCCGAAACAATAGGTCCAAACGTTTGTCTTGTCGTTCAAAACCGTATTTACACATATAGTCTTTGAATGAAACGATAGTCATATAAAAAGATGGAAAGCAGTGCTCCATATAGTCAGAGAAAAGCCGTTCGACGTCTTTCTCTGAATAGTTGGTTGACTTAAGCATATCTTCCTCATGATTTCGCGGCGGATCTCTCGGTACATAAGCAAAGGCGGCGTCCAGACTGTGCTCAACGATCTGTAAATCAGTCAAAGCTTTGACGACAACAGTGTCAACAAATTGCCACACCTCTGGCCCCCACAGATTTGGCAGCTTTTTGTCGCTGGCCTCGGCCACTGTTAGCCATCGAATTCGGTTACCATTATTTGTACAGCACTTGTAGTATTGGTCAGCATTGGCTGACAATTTGATGTAATAGATTAGTCGTGTTTGAAAACTTTGTGTCTGAGGCAGCTGTAGCCGAAACATTTGGACACAACAGCTCCGATCAATCACCGGTTTGTTTTGCAAATCATTGTACAAATTGTTATCATAGTTGGCCAGTACACTGATGACACCGTCGCGGGCGCTGTCGTTCCAGACTCGGCCAGAAGGCAGACAAACAAACGGCAGCCAAACATATTGGGTTTGAGATTCTTCGGCCACCGCTATCTTCTGGTGTTTTGGACAGTGAATAACATAAGCGCACACATCGTATATGATGTCGTCATCGGCCGGACTACTAGTACTGGTGGTGGTCACCGGTGACAGTCTTGAGCCATGAAGTTTCGCCTCTACTAAAGATAGTTGTTTGACATTGATTTCTGAGTCCATTGATTTTTATTTAAAATATAAATGTTTAATACTATTGTTGAGAAAAGTGCATGCAATTTAAAAATTTAAAAATAAAATATTCAATTTAAAAATAATGTAACAAAAGAGAGAGAGAGAGAGAGAGAGAGAGAAAGCATAATAAAAGTTATAATTTACGCGCGAGATACGTGTTATTTATTTCCATAAACAAAACGGTTAGCGAATTATTTAACAACAAAAAGTCAAATCATTAGATTATTATTTTGTTAAACTGATCCACACATACAGTATAGTCATTATATATATAATTTAGTACAGTATAAGTGACAGCAAAAAAACACCATTGAATTAAAATGAATGAATTTATGAGAAAAGGTACTGTAAATTGTGAGTCTGCTAAGACATTCAAAGATAGGGATCAACTGATGAAAAAAGTCTATCAAAAGCTCAGCGAAGACAACAAATTTATCAAAGAACTGACTGATGAACAACGATTTGAATTCTTATKGACTAAAGTCTGGCCGCTATCTACGGCTCGTCAGTGGGTCGGCGAAGTGGCCAACGACTATCAGCGTCAACACAGCAAATCTGCTGATAGATCGGCCAAATACCGGACTCAAGCCGAAGACTACATCAAAAAATGTGATTATCTATCGGCACTCAATGTCTGCACAAAAGTAAGGGAATACTTAAAAATAATTAGTTTTTGACATCAGAATCCATATACAGTATGTAATAACTTTGCCATCACTTTGTAGGCCATACGTTGCGCTCCTTTTCCATCAGATTTAGACGGCGAGTCCAACGAATTGGCCATCGCTTACGGCTATCGATCGATAATCAATTTTCTGACCAAAGACTATACTATGGCACTGTTCGACGCTAACAAATCCTGTGATTTATGGGAAACCCGCGAAATGTTGACCCACAAAGTCCACTGTTTGCGACTATTGCGTCGTTTCGGTGAAGCCATAGCTGTCGTGGATTACATTGTGTCCAATGAACCGCCATTTATGAATGCCTGCGCCGTGAATAGCACTAACAAAGAGCTGCTAAAACTAAGACAACAGATAAGCGTAGAGTTAGATTCAGCTAAAGACGAACTCATAGCGATAACTGAAATTATTGAATCAATTGATGATCAAAAAACACCGACCAATGATAGTATCATCACTACTGTTAAGACAGAAATAGATGAGTCGATACCCTATTGGCTACACCCGAACTGTCAACTAAAAGTCAGCGACACTAAGGGTCGTCATATGGTGGCCAGCGAACGRATACCATTCGGCAGTGTTATTATAATTGAGCGCCCGATTAGCAAAGTCCTGTACGATCCGACAATAAGCAATTGTACAAATTGTATGAAATTTATCGGCGATCAATTCTTACCGTGTCTGGGATGCGATGAAGTGATCTTCTGCGACGAAAAATGTTTTGCTGAAGCCTACAACAGTTATCATCAGTACGAGTGCGGCATAACTGGTCTCGTGTTTCAGTTGAACAGTGCTATACATCACGCCTACCGTTTGTTCAGCCGATTTGGTCACCAGACAACTGTCGATTATCTCAGAGATCACCAAAAGTTTGATTATCAAGAATACATTGCAAACCAAATGTTGGAYACCGATAATGAGGACAATGACAAAGAGTGTCCGCCGTTGGAAAAGAGTTGCAATGTTAATGGTATGGAAAGATTCAAGGCTTTTATGGGACTCGCAGACAATGGAGGAAAGTTTGAGCCATCGATGACAGTATATCAATGCTTTCGGGCCATGGATTGCATACTATTGTTGCAATGGCGGGAACTGTTGAATAAAGAGTATGACAACGAAAACATCAAAGAATTRGCCAAATTGACGACCAATTTGATGACAATTGTACGCAAAGTTAATGTCAATGTGTTTGGTTGGGCCGGTAAGGACCGTGTGGCCAAAGGCAAGCATAAGGGCAGTGCACTCGTAGTRATCGGTTCTCTGTTCAATCATAGCTGTCAACCCAACGCCTATTGGAGTTTCACTGATACTGGACTTTTCACGTGCAAAACTATCCGTCCTATTGAGGCCAACGCCGAAATCAACATCACTTACGGCCCAACAGTGTTGACGTTGCCGTTCGTCGACCGACAGAAACGGCTGAAACACATCTACTTCTTTGACTGTAACTGYTGGTCGTGTCTTCAAGAGTCAGGTCAAGAGTTAAACGTCAGGTGTCGACAATGTGACGGACCGTTGATCTGTACGTATCACTACCAAAGTCAGTCGATATGTTGTCTGCAATGCGGCCAACCTATGAACGACTATATCGATGTTATCGTTGATATCCATCAATTGAAGAGTCGATTCGACAAATCGATGATCGARTTGGAGAATAACAGCGAAGACAAGTCGTCAGAGACCAAAGCCGAAGAATTGTTAAGCAAACTGTTGGCTATCGTATCGATGGACAGTCAGCCGTTGTTGAATTGTGTCCGCGATTTGGTTCGCCATTATCAGCGGCGCCAACAGTTCGCTAAAGCTGTTTATTACGGCCAATACTTTGTCAATCGTATGGACAATCAGTTGGACGACTTGTTACTGTGGACTCAGTGCTACTATGCCTTCTTTGATAAACAGTCGACACTGTCGGTCAGTGACCAGCACTGGATTCATGCGTTCAGTTTCTATAAATCATTGGTCACAGTCTTGAAAAATAAGCGGACACTAGCCTTAACTATGAAATCGGCAAAACCGGCGATCAATGGAGACAGTTGTCAGCCATTGTTGTCAGAAACCGACAAACTTTCAGTCAATGGTGATAACGATGACCGCCGTTACGTGGATTCGGTTGACATCGAGACCAATGCACTGATCGATAGTCATTTGAATCGTATCCACAATGAATACAAACAGTTGAAGTTATGGTACAAATCCGGCCAAAAAAATTAACAAACAAAACAAAGAAAAAAAAATACAATTATTGTAGTAATTATTTAAACTATTTGTTTCAGTAATTAGCGGATCTAATTGTAATAGTAATACTGATTATACAAAATATTATATAWAAAAAACTCTTATGATTCAAATTAATATTTTAATAAAATTAATAAACAAACAAACAATAATCATATTAACAAATGTAATTAAATATAAGATTAGTCTATATATTATACACGATATATGATATGACAAAAAAAGGTTATTAGGATAACAACTAATGAATTGTTAAGTCAATTATTGATATATTGGTTTTAGCTTTACTATTGTTTAATGAATTTCTATATATTTTTTAGATTATTTTCAAATATTATTTGAACCGATTGGTTATATGTAYCGGTTTTTTTGGTGSATAGTTTGAAGCACTATTAAAATATTGATAATACAGTTACTTAAAAGCCTAGTCTACTACCATCCCCTTTAAATGAGCTACAGATAACCAATCGAAACAAAGCAAACTAATCACTGTCCAGGAAACTGATCCACAATTAATAAAATCTTAAAATCAAGTTTTTAAACATTATTCTGAAATTATTTGCAAATAACTTTGAGTATGATTTTATTTTTTAATCAGTGATTATGAGGTAGAAAAAAAACTTATTTAATATATGAAATTATTTAAAAAAACAAACATTTTATTGAATAAATCAAATTAATTGAATATATATTTTTCATTTATCTGTCTAATCCTTCCACAAATCTAAAGCCAAGTTCTTGAATACCTTTATATCTTTCGACTAAATTGGTGCCAACATTAAGAAATTCAGATAACTGTGCTCTGTTGAGTGCCGGTAGAAACAATTTGCGCCAATTGTATTCACTTTTGTATACAGGTGATGATCTAGTTTTATTGAACGTCCATTTGTCATAATGTTTGTCTGACAAATACGGCACTTYCATATATTTGTGACTACGCGTATAGAATCGGATGTCCGGTCGGGTCATTGTTTTGTTATCCCAGCCTTTGTTGTAACAGACAGTACAGAGACCGACCCAAAGGTATAATGAGTCGTTGGCCGACCAATTGKGGTCATCCGAAGCAATGAACACATTAAACGTATCTTTAAAAAATCCTTTGTCATAGATATTAAAAGACAACGCGAATACTAAATGACCGACCGTTTTGCCTTTGTGTCGATACTTATAGATAAAGGCGTCTGAGATGTTATCCAAACGCATTACCGGTTCAATTGAATAGTGTATAATAGTTTCGGTCAAATCTTTGGACAATTGAATCCAATCAAAATCCATTATTTCTGTTACATTTCTACTTATAAAGTAAATGCCAAAAACATATTTCCTTAATTGGTTGTCACCCATCACTTCTAGAGGACAATCACAGCTATTGATAGTCAGTGAATGTAATCCCTCGCCAACGATAATAATGATTTGTCTGTAGGGCAGACCAATTGTCCAGTTGGCGATTGAACTTTTATTAGGACTGTAAGGGGTCTGGACTCTCATAATACCTTCGCAACAGTAAAAKGTGTCTTCTTTAAGAAGTGATGTACTAAAAGTTTTTGGATTTTTTTTCATTTTGTACACTTGTGTCACACAAAGTAGACCATCGTTAGAGACAATTAGAGCCAATCGATCAGATAAATAGGTTGTATTACTCATAACTGGAAATCTATCGCAATCCATGGCCACAAAATCAGATGAATAATTGAGTGGTGAATACATACCCCAAACTGGGAACGACAGACAATGTCTTTCCAGTACTCTGTTTACTAAACGAAGTTTTAAATCTTTTTTTTCAATCGATACTAAATAACAAATTAGTTGTGCAGAATATGTTGGACATCTGGACACTCTTGTATTTGTAGGATTGTCCAAAAATATAACTGATCGCATCTTTGACTCTACATTGTCTTTTTGAACTAATGCAAGATATAAACCACAAGTGTATCCATTGGGAAGATCGTCATAAATATTGTGAGACGGTAGAGGTTTGTGTTTGGCAGTCATCAACACTGGAAATACCGAATCATTGAATAGATATTCCACTCTTTGGTTATACTTTGTTCGGACTTTTGATGTATTAATCATTATAATCTCTGACCCGAACTGCATATTTGTCGGTTCCGTCCAACATATGAGCGCCGATTGAATTATATTATCGTAGGCCTCAAATTGACCGATAATTCTATCCAATTGTTCAACAATACTGTTTGGCGGATCTTTCACTTGTTGTGTGCCAAACACCGGTGCAATAATAACTGGACTATTGTTTTGTGGATCAGTTTCCTGAATAGTCATTGATTTTCTTCCTTCTAAACCTAAGCCTTCTCTTCCGTAAACAGATCTTATTCTTCCTGACTTTAGGTACAATGGTTTAGCATTGGTTGCCATTGTCTTAAATGTTTGTGTTTTAAATGGACACTTAAACGTTCATCAAATGTATGCACTTATGTGTAAAATTGAAATATTTAAAAAAAATATTTAAATAATTTTGAATCTAAAATCTGGTGACATTTAAAAGTTAATTATTGACTTAAATCTATATTATAGACAGCCAGTAAAAAGTATTGTTTTTATGCATTTATACATATATAAAATGTTAGTTTTAGTATTAATTATTATTTAGTTAGGTTAGTTTGGGGGGAGTATGAGGTTAGGAAGTTGTTGGGTGGGTGGGGATGAGTATGGGGCAAATAATTTTCTAATGGCTGTCTATAATATAGATTTGTTCCCATTTTTATGTTACTTTTTATCAGAGGTGGCAAAAAAATAAGAAAAAAAAAAATGAATTTATTTTTATAAAAAAAACATTTTATTGAATGAATCAAATGAACTGAATCTGTATTTTTTTATTTATCATTTATATATATCATCCAGAAATCTAAAGCCAAGTTCTTGAATACTTTTGTATCTTTCGACTAAATTGGTGCCAACATTACGATATTCAGACAACTGTGCTCTGTTGAGTGCCGGTAGAAACAATTTGCGCCAATTGTCCTCATTTTTGAATACAATTTGTTCAGTTTTGTCGAGTGTCCACTTGATATGTTGGCATTCCTGCAAATACGGTACTTCCATAAATAGGTGACGTCGCGGAAAGTATTGGATGTCCGGTCGGGTCATTGTTTTGTTGTCACGACTTTTGTTGTATACGACAGTACAGAGACCTACATAACGGTATAATGAGTTGTCGGCCGACCAATTGGTGTCATCCAAAGCAATGAATATATTGAATGAATCTCTGAATATTCCTCTTTCATAAAAATTAAAACACAACGAAAATACTAAGTAACCGATCGTTGAGTTGTTGTGTCGATATTCATAGATATAGGCGTCCGAGATGTCATACAAACGCATTACCGGTTCAATTGAATACCGTTGAGTAGTTTGGGTTTGGGTTAAATCTTTGGCCAATTGAATCCAATCAATTTCTATCAGTTCTTCTAAAGTGTTTCTTATACAGTAAATTACATAAAAATATTTCCATAATTCAAGTAATTCCGGACAATCACTACTATTGATAGACAGTGTATGTAATCCTTCGCCAACGATAATAATTAGTTGTTTGTATGGCAGACCAACAGTCCATTTGCCGACAGATGTTTTAATATTGCTATAAGTGGACCGACATCTCATAATACCTTCGCAACAATAAAATGTGTCTTCTTTAAGAAGTGATGTACTAAACGTTTTTGGATTATTTTTCATTTTGTACACTTGTGTCACACAAAGTAGACCATCGTTGGAGACAATTAGCGCCAATCGATCGGATAAATACCTTGTATTACTTAGAACTGGAAAACTATCGCAATCCATGGCCACAAAATCAGATGAATAATTGAGAGGTGAATACATACCCCAAACTGGGAACGACCGACAATGTCTTTCCAGTACTCTGTTAACAATACGAATTTTTGAATCTCCCTCTACTCTTGATTTTAAATAACAAATTAGTTGAGCCGAATATGTTGGACATCTGTATACTGTTGTATTTGTAGGATTGTCCATAAATATAACTGATCGTATCTTTGACTCTATTTTGTTTTGCTCAATCAATGCAAGATATAAACCACAAGTGTATCCATTGGGAAGATTTTCATAAATATTTTGAAGCGGTATAGGCTTATGATTTGCAGTCATCAACACTGGAAATACCGAATCATTGAATAGATATTTGACTCTTTTGTGATAATCTGTTCGGACTTCTGATGTATCAATCAGTATAATCTCTGACCCGAACTGCATATTTGTCGGTTCCGTCCAACATATGATCGCCGATTGAATTACAGTATCGTTGGTCTCAAATTGACCGATAATTCTATCCAATTGTTCAACAATACTGTTTGGCGGATCTTTCTCTTGTTGTGTGCAATATACCGGTGCAATAATATCTGAATTGTTGTTTTGTGAATCAGTTTCCTGAACAGTCATTAGTTTACTTTCGTCTAAACCCATGACTTCTCTTCCGTAAACAGATCTTATTCTTCCTGACTTTAGATACAATGGTTTAGCATTGGTTGCCATTGTCTTAAATGTTTGCGTTTTAAATGGACACTTCAACGTTCATCAAATGTATGCACTTATAAATAAATATACTGTATATAAAATTGCATAATAAAAAAAATATTTACATAATTTTGAATCTAAAATCTGGTGACATTTAAAAAATTAATTATTGACTTGAATTTTTTAATCAATGATATGATTTTTTAAACATTATTCTGAAATTATTTGCAAATAACTTTGATTTTTGATTTCATTACTTTTGACTTTTTTTTATCAGTGGTAGCAAAAAATAAGGAAAAAATTACATGAATTTATTTAYTGTAAAAAAACATTTTAGTGAATGAATCAAATGAACTGAATCTATATTTTTTTTTATCATTTATATATATCATCCAGAAATCTAAAGCCAAGTTCTTGAATACTTTTGTATCTTTCGACTAAATTGGTGCCAACATTACGATATTCAGACAACTGTGCTCTGTTGAGTACCGGTAGAAACAATTTGCGCCATTTTTCCTCACTTTTGAATACTAATGGTAC